TTGTGGTCCGCACCTGTTACGACGGCACGTGACGCGGCCACAGCACACCCCCGAGTTGCACGGAGTGCGAGGGCCCGTTCATCGTCATCATTTAATGATTGAAGTTGATTCTATATTACAAAATGAAATCTGATTATATGATTGTAACTGATTATTTAATAATTAATAAGTATAAATGTGGGCGTCCGGTTAGCTCAGTCGGTAGAGAGGCCGGCCCGGGTTCGAAACCAACCTGCGGCCCTTTGCTGCATGTCATCCCCTCTCTCTCTGCCCCCCTTTCCTGTCTATCTCCAGCTGTCTCTCTATCAAATAAAGGCCTAAAGGCCTAAGACAGAACTATGGAAAGTAAGGTCAAGAGAGCAAATCATGTTGAAGTGTTAAGTAACTAGTGTTACGACCCGGCTCGTGGGGGGAGAGGGAAGCAACATGAACCAGAATGTTTTTGGTAAAATTGCATTTATTTGCAGGGTTCACAAGAAAAACAGGAAAAGGGCTGTTGGATGCTGCTTAACTCAAAGAAACAAATATAACTTAAAGAGGTCTCTCCAAAATGAGAGATAGCCACTGACTACTTCAAAATCAAATTAAACAAAACTCTGACCCGTCATCAATAATCAAAAATACAAAGTAAGCAGCACCCTCTAAAACCTAGTGTGTCCAACATAAAATAAATCTACAGGTGTCCGGTGTGTATCAGTTACCCCCCACCTAAATCCTTGCCCAGTTTCCTTACCACAGTTCAGATTAAGGCAACACAGGAGACACTAGGATCTTATACTTAAACTAAGGCTCTTACAGAAGTTAACACATTTACAACAGTAGAGCACAATACACACAGCCGAGTTGATCAAGGGCAAAATCACAACTACCCGTTCAACAGGTAGGCAGCTATTTAAATAGAGGAAGGCGGTAGATGATTGGAGGGATTGCCAGACGCCGCACCAATCAGATCACCGGCTGGAACCAGGAAGTAGGCAGGTCTCACGCCAGCCAATCCTCGGCAAGGGATCACACATCCTGCTTAACATGACACAGCTGCACAACACAGCTACACATCTCCAGATAATGGAGGTGGCCTTAGCACCCCTCCCCTTAAGATGCAAACCATAAGTTTGTAACAAAACCACCACCTTACAACTAAGACTATTTTTATACTCTTGATAGAGCATCAGCTAACACATTTTCAGATCCTTTCTTATGACGTACATCCAGGTTGTAATCTTGCACGACCAAGGCCCACCGCATGAGTCGCTGGTTGTGGTTATACATGCGGGAAAGAAACACAAGTGGGTTATTGTCATTGTAATTTACAACTGGCAGAGAACTGGAACCAACATATACCTCAAAGTGTTGTAGGGCCAACAGCAAAGCAAGGGTTTCTTTTTCAATGGTCGAGTAGTTAGCCTGGTGCCTGTTAAACTTACAGGAAAAATAACATACCATTAACATCCTCCTGCAATAGGACTGCACTGCAATAGGAACTTGATTAACTAGTCTAGACTGGAAACTGGAGCCTTGATCAGTTTTAATCACCCGGGGAAGACCAAAAAAAAAAAAAAAAGCGGGAAAGCGAGTGGCAGCGCACATTACTGTGAGTAAATATTGATTTCCGCTTTTAGTTCTGGGCAAGGATCCGACACAGTCTATTATTACACGTTCGAAAGGTTCCCCTATCACAGGTATTCGATGCAATGCCAGCCAATCCTCGGCAAGGGATCACACATCCTGCTTAACATGACACAGCTGCACAACACAGCTACACATCTCCAGATAATGGAGGTGGCCGTAACACTAGGTAATAAGGCATATATTGCAACCGGACATGCCTGGTGCTGAGAGAAAAGGGAAGTTGGACCGCATACACAGGATGTAAGGATGAGCACACACACAGGACACATCTTGTGAGAAGCAAAAGAGGAAGTACTAGGTATGAACCGAACAACACCCTAGGAGACAAGGGGGATAAAAGGTTCTGCACGAGGAGGATCGGGGTTATTCATCGGCCGGCTCTTGGGTTCAAGACTTGCTGATCGATCGACCACATCGGAGCAACTCATCTTTGAACTTAGAATGTCAACTCAAGAGATAGAGCAACGAACAAGCCTAACATCGCAGAAAGAGAAGTCCAACAATCTAAAGCTGAGACGGGAGTGTCGAGCAGAGGAGGATTAACCATCTCCACCCGGCTTTAGGATTCCAATTGATCACCAAGGATCACTCTTTAGTTCACCCTGCCATCAGAGACTGCACTGGCAGGCATGGAAAGACTGTATTGGCCAGTGCACCTCTTCCCTCTCTCTCTTCAAACTGGACATTTAACCCTTCAGCTACAGCCTTCTCATCAGGGTTTGAAATTTAAATAACTATTTTCAATGTCAGAGATAATTAATCTTTATCAGTAGATGTGAATAATCAATGTTGAATCAATATTAAGCTGTGTGCTAGCCCTTCTTAAAATCTTGCAATAAAAAATAACAACTAAAGTTAAAGAATAAATAGTGGACATTGGATTTATGATATCTCTACAGGCAATAATTATTAGGTAGTGTGTTTAATATCTTGAAGGTTCTAACAAGTTACTCTAGTCAAATAAATTAAACAGACCCTTGGGGCTTACTGTCCAAGCCACTAAAATAATCCTAGCAACCACCAAGTGCACAGATCAGTAAGAGGAGAGCTGCCGTTAACGAACGTGGCTAGTGTGGTACTTGGCTCTAGGGCTATTCGGTCAGGTGCTGCACTAGAGTGAGCAGGATGGGCGTTCGGATGAAGGCAGTTAGAAGCCAGGTGTGTCTCCTCGCCACCAGCTTAAACAGTCCTCTTTTTAACCTATAGGGTAATACTCATAGGCAAGAGGCTCGGACCCTTTACAACGGAGAGCTGGTCCAGTACCACCTATACAGGGGTAACTCGGGATCTAACATTACTTATTCATAGCGCTTATGGCTTCGTGTTATCTGAAATAAACTAGTCATGAAAGAGTATTTTTGTACTTTCTTTTTCCTTAAAAAGTTATCTTTTCTCTTTGTCTGATGTTCAAAAACAGAACATGGCTGGTATTCAAATCTTACAAACCAAAACACAACAACAAACATCTCTTTTATTTCTAGAGGTTTTAGTTCATAAAAATGTAACCGGCCAAGAACGATGTTAAGTTGAGCACATTGCAGCGCATTGGATATGTCCAGTATCAATCATCAGGGGCAGCTGGTAGCTCACTGGATCTCTCCCAAAGCTGAGAAAGCTGGAACTGGATCCTCTAAAACAAAGACTTACTCCCAACCAACCTCAGCTACGACGATGCAAACAGAACAACAGCTAGCTGTTTCCAGCTGTGTGTGAGTGTGTGTGTCGGCAATGAGAGACGGTTTCCACCCGCCACTTTTTAGCCGCCTTTTTTATTTGAATCTCCACCTTAAAGACCAGCGGTTCCCAATCTGAGGGTCGGGCCCCTCCGGAAGGTTTTCCTGAATTTTTGGGTAATCTCAAATAGATTCAGATGTTTTTGTAATAAGTGAGATTGAGAACCAAATAATGGATTAAATTACTCTTCAGTGTTTCCCTCTGAAAAGTGGAGCAGACGTATAAAGTATAAATGAGAGAAATTGATGTTGTTGTTGTTATGGACACTTTGAGTAAATGTTGTCTCAGCTACTTTTTGGGCATTTTTTTCTGTGCATGAATTGACGGTCGATCATTTTGTGTTTTGGCGCCAACGTCTCTGCTGCCAACAAACTTCCTGTCTCTCTCTCGCTCACTGTCTCTCTCTCTCTTTAATAGGACTGCTTGCTGTAGGAACTTTCAGTCTCGTCCGTCCAAGCGGCATACTGTAAAATATGGCTCTTGTAAAAAAATGCATTTAAAATAAAAGAGAAACTGGTCGAGACAGACGACCACCCACCTAGAGCCGAAGGATCTGTCCTAGGTTTCTGCCTTTTAACAGGCAGTTTTTCCTTGCCCCCTTCGCCAAGGTCTTGCTCATGGTGGTACTGTTGGGTCACCCACCTAGAGTCGGGGTCTGTCCGAGGTTGCAGCCTCTTAAAAGGAAGTTTTTCTTTGCCGCCGTCGGTTCTGTCCAGACCTGCTCTATTTGAAAAGTGTCCTGAGATAACTTCTGTTATGATTTGGCGCTATGCAAATAAAATTTAATTGAATATTGGTTAACACATATAAATGTATAACAACATGCAGAGGTTTCAATAATAATCAATGTTAGTGAAACCAAATTACAACAATATAAAGAAAATAATCTAATGCTTTCAGGTGCAGCTGAAACTCTCACATGTGGCTTTTCTGCTTTCATTGCCTCTTTTTCATCTGATGAACTATTTCCGTTCAGTTCAGTCTCATAGTTTCCCGCTTATTAAGTGTTTTTGTTGCCATGACTACACTGCCCTGCAAAGCCTAACCGCAGTAACTACGCTGACAATGAAACTGAGAAAACTGCATCAAAGGTTTTTGACTAATGCGTTTTAATTAAAACGGCAGTTATGTGCTTATTAATTATGTATTAGTTATTTTTATATCTTAAAAATCATGACCAATTAATGAATTAATGAATTGTAATAATTTTGGCGATCCTCCAACTTTCCATAGTCCCATCAGCCTCAGCTGAACTTTTATTTAAAAATGTAATTCACAAAAGTGTAAAATAACTCAAAACAAACAAGAGAATAAACAAAAATAACCCATACAATCAGAACATATATCATCAGGCGCAATAACCTGAATAATCATCAAAACATCAAGAATAAGTAGACCAATAAATAGTAAGTAATAATACTGTAAATGTACTTTATATGGAAATACATTTTCAGCCTCTCTAGATAAATAGAAAAGAAAGGATTAGATATACTACACTTAATGTTCATGAAGATTAACCTTCCTCGTCTTTCCCTCAGCTGCACTAAGCAAATGTTGTCATGCTAACCTGCTAAACTAAAGATGGTGGACAGTGTCTTTTTTCAACTTCTGAACTTATGTGAATTTTGTTTTTATAGTAAAAATGAAGATTGCAGCCTTCAATGTCCAGAGACTGGGAATGGATAAAGTCGGAAATAAGGATGTGCGGGAAAAACTTATCAAGGTAAGTCATAATTCATTCAAACATCTCTGATATCTCTGATATTCAGTACAATTACTTATTCAATTTTATATTTTTGTCATGCTGAGTGTGAAAATACAGTGAAAAGGAACTACTGTATATTTGTATGTTGTGCGTTTTGTGTTTGTTTGTATGATGATCAGAGAAATAAGACCTCTGTTCAGGCCAGATTTAAAGAAATGCCTGTTCCTGTAAAAATGATTTATTCTTACAATAGAAATACATAATTAGTATTTGGATCTGTTTCTTTTGTATCAGTATTGATTATCTATTTACCCTTTTTATTGACTAAAAACATTCCTTCACAGTTAGAAATACTGTACATATTAGAATTAATGATGGTTGAATCCCATTTAGCTGCTTCATACTGGTTCATTGTCACAGCTTAAAGGGACACTTGATGACAACCAACCTACTATTAATTATAATAAGTTATTAGTAACACTTTGTGTGTCCCAATATGACAATTTAAATGTACTTCCAGACATGTTCATTGTTCGCTGTTTGCTGTCTTCTGTTGTGGTTGTGTTTGGTGCAGATTGTGTCTCGGTACAGCGTGGTGGTGATGCTAGAGGTGGTGGATCAAACTGGCGAGGCCATGAAATTTTTCCTCCAAGAACTCAATAAGTACGTTGTCCACACGTGGACATGACCTCCACAGGGACGTATTTTGACAGGGCCCGGCACGTATTTATGTAGAACTCAGAAGTAGAAATGTTTTTTGCCAACAGAAGCTTTCATGCAACTGCAGCCAACTAACTATATACATGTTTATGATAATACACAGACATGAAAATGACTTAGAGAATACATATTTATTAATTAGTCCTACTTAATACAGTCAAGAACAAGACGGCTTTGTGCCATGTATGAATTTGAAGTTTATCAGTAGTCAAAGTTTGTTTGTGAAGACACCTTTCTGAATGTGTTTCAATGTTTTTAGAGAAGACGGTGACAAACATGAGATAATAATTAGAGTTACAGTTATTCGTGGAGCAGAGGCAAGATGGGAGAGGGAGTTGGACTTCTGTCTCTATATACAGATTGAATCTAGCTTTTAAATAAACAGAACTAAACAGAATCTCATGATTAAACTAAACAAACTAAAACAAATTCAAAAATTAAATACTGTGCTCCCGCACAGAAACCCATAATGATGATGATGATGATGATGATTAATAAATGCTACTGGTTGAAACTGTGTGAGTGTTTAAGTTCCAGTTGTTTCTGTTTTTTGACTGAAGGAGCGGACCTCATCTGTACGGCATAAGGAGCAGCCAATCTCTGGGACGAAGCACCTACAAAGAGAAGTTTGTCTTCTTCTTTAGGTAAACAGTCAAAAACTCACTCTGGAAACCGACTCATCAGCGTATCAGTGTATGTCTGTCGATTATCGATTATGACACACATATGCATCTGCGTCTGTCTGTGTGTGTTTTTAGAAGGAATGAGGTGACGTTGATCAACTACCACCAGTACAAAGAAACAGCTGAAGACACTCTCGCCAGAGAGCCCTTCATGGTGCGGTTCGAGTGTCTTGATACAGGTACCTGTGTGTGTGTGTGTGTGTGTGTGTGTGTGTGTGTGTGTGTGTTGGTTTTTGTTTGAGTGTCCTGCTAATAGTATTTCTATAGAGGTAGAGAGCTCAAATCCAGAGTTTCTGTTAGTCCACAATTACCAGACATTGTGTAGAAGTTTTTTTTTTTGACAAATTGCTATTACTCTGATTTTAACACAGAATCATCAGTTATTTAAGAAACCTCACCTGACACAACTTTTATTATAGATATATTGTCTAACTAACCCCAGCTTTGATGTTAGGCTATCTGTTAACAAATGGAGCATACAGAAAGTCTAGTGAACCCAGGCTAAACTAACTTGATCTTTGTCCTATCTCATTTTTCAGTTTGTAGGAGGCCCTGTCCAGCATTATTAAAATTTTCTGTCTCCGCTTTATTTGGAAAAAAAACTGTAGAAAATATTTTCTAAATCTGATATAAAAAGCATAACATCATCAGTATAAGGAGAAATAAGAAGAGTGTGATCTGCAAATCTACCCCCTGAGTGTACAAAAGGAAATAATTAAAATATTATTTACATACTTCATTAATCCTTTTTTATGTTCAATGATGAAATACATTTGTTTGCTGGAATAGAAAACATAATATGTATGTTTAAACTTTTGTTAATTTTAATTTGAACTTATGTTACGTTAATCATTCATCCCTCAAAAATTACCACTTAAACACAGGTACAAAGAAACACAAAACTAGCAAAGGTGAAAACATGACACTGGTTCACTCAGGGTGAGGATCAAATATTGCATTCCGGCTGTGCTGACCTCTGCAAATTCCCCAAATATGGGGATCTTGACTGCATAATTTCTGGTTGTGGGGGATTGTGTTCGCATTCTCCACTGACTTTTATGTTGGAGAAAAAGCTGATATAAATTTGATTGTAGCGACTTCCAAGTCAGCACTGTTGTAGTAATGTTCAAGCCACTGAAAAGAGGCTGTAGTAATGTGGTAATGCCATTGGCAGTTTAATGGGTAGGGGAATGGGTGTGGCCTGGAATATTGGCAGACAATAAGACTATGGGAGGCTTACCACGAGTGGAGTGGCTGGGACGTGCCAGACTAAGTTGGCCTGATAATGTTGGTCTGATGTCAGGTGGCACACAATACTGACTTGGAAGTCCAAATAAGCAAACCTTTTTGTAGAGATCTTAGAAAGAATTGGACCTGGTTCTAGGTCACGCCCACTATGTATATTCCAAATGTATGCACATTTGGATATTTCTGTGGAAAATAATGGCCTTTTGATATTTTAAAAAATTTGGCATAAAGGAACACCTGGGAACCTTCCTTGGCTGAGCTTTGTCTGTTTGTGAGACTAAAGAAATCAGAAACCATGGGGATTGAGGCTTAAGTGAAGTTATCCTTAACCTCAGAGAAATTCATTCTCTGCATTTGACCTTCATCCCAAGTAGGAGGAGCAGTGGGCATACACTGTGTGGCGCCTGGGGGCCAACTCCAGATCTGAGCCAGTGGTACTCCACTCAGCAAGACCCTGTCCTGGCCCACACCCATTGTCTCCTGTTCAGCTGGGATGCACCCATGAGAAGGGGATCTGGAAAGCGTTATGTAAGAAATTCAGGGGAAGCTGCTGTAAGCAGGGGAGTGCAAAGCTCCAGCTCATACTACTCAGCTAAGTTGGCCTGATGTTGTCTATGTAGACCAAACAGAGAATTGGATCATGTGACCTTGTTTATGTATGTTCCAAATCTGGTCATGTCCTGTTTGTCAAAAAACTTCTTATGCAACACTACATGCTTGCGGGCCCGAATACGCATGGGGTCTTCACAAGTATAGAAATTAAAATCTGTGTGTATCCAATTCAGCTGTATCTGACATTAAGTTGTGTTTGTGCTTTCAGTTGTGAAGGATCTGGTTCTGATCCCAGTCCACACCAAACCAGAGGATGCAGAAATAGAGCTGGACGCTCTGGAGGATGTGGTTGAAGTTGCGAGAAAAAAATGGAAGTCTGATGTGAGTTGTAAATTAATAGAACAGAGTAAATGATATAAGTATGGGAGCAATAATAACCTATTATTATTATTATTTCATGGGTTTGAGTGGAATGGTTCTGGTTGCACTACAAATCTGCTTACTGTTACTGCAATTGTATGTCAATATAAAAATACTCATTAGTGCCGCTTTGATCTTATTTTGTATTTTATTTACTTTTTGTATCCATTATTCTACTTGTATATAGATGGTAGTTCATTTTGGTTTTAAAGGTTATATATGAAATTCACTTGCCACTGGATGTTACACTAGAGCACCAGCTTCTCTTGTAGTTTGATGCACTGATGATGATGTTTATGCTGATACATTATGTTGATTTTGTTCTGCAGAACATTATGATTCTGGGGGACTTTAATGCAGATGGACGTTACCTCTCCAAGAAGAAGAAGGAAAGGATCAGTATCTTCTCTCCTGACTACCATTGGCTGATAGGTGATGATGTCGACACCACGACAAGTAACTCTACTGACCACACCTACGACAGGTAATATAAGTATGACCGATGAAATACAGTTGCTTTTACTAAAATTTCTGCCTCCACTTTTAAAAAAACAAATAGAGGTGAAAGGATTTTAGTTTGTGGTGTAACATTACATTTAAAGAATTGATATATATGCCATTATCTTGTCAATGTTTCTATAGTTTGGTTTATTATCTTAAACTCTGGATCCATATCAGCATGGCTATATACCTCTAGAGATACAGAATAAGTGTTTGTTAGGTGAATGGGATTACTAGAGGAAGTTCAAAGGCTAAATCCAGAGTCTCTCTGCCAACAGGATTGTGGTGTTTGGAGATGACATGTATGACGCTGTGGTTCCCCGCTCAGCTCGGACTTTCAACTTCCAGAAGGAATACCGTCTGTCTCATGCCAAAGTAAGACTGAGGAATATATAAGACTGTCTTAGATCAGTTGGAAAACTTTCAAATTCACAACATGGTCCTTTAAAAAATATTTATGACTTTTCTTCCAGACTAAAGCCATCAGTGACCACTACCCTGTGGAGGTGGTGCTGAGGAAGAACTAACATGAACAAATGAGCTCCGAAGGCAACCAACGAAGAGAAAGGTATATATCAGTAATTCTTTCACCTGCACTATGTTTGTGTATATGATAAACAAAAGGGTCACTACAAAGTTAATTGAGTATTTTATGGTGTTTAAAGTTCGTGTGTGTAGTTTTTGGTCACCGAATTGGTGCCATTTATATGCAACCTTCTCTCCAAGACATTGGACAACAGGAAAGAAGTACTGAGACCATTTATTTAAGTAAAAGTAGTAATACCACAGTATAGAAATACATTTGACTTCATTCATTCTCAGTTTCCCTGAGTCAGTAACTGTTAAGGAGTTATCGGGTACGTCTGTCAGCCACAGTGTCTGTTTTTACACTAGAGGTCACCAAAGTCTGAATCAGAGCTTTAATGATGGATGTTGATATCAGATGTTCTCTTGTTTCTTTTTCTGTCTGAACTATATTTTCTGTTTTGTGTCTTTTTGTAAATCAAACCTCTAACAGGACATCAGAAGAAGACGGATGTCCCAGCAGACCTCATCATGACACAACATTAGACAATATACGCAGACGCATCGGCAGTTCCTTATATCACTGCTTACTTATTCATAACGCTTATAGCTTCGTGTTATCTGAAATAAACTAATCATGAAAGAGTATTTTTGTGCTTTCTTTGTCCTTGAAAAGTTCTCTTTTCTCTTTGTCTGATGTTCAAAAACACAACAACAACAAACATCTCTTTTACCTCTAGAGGTATTAGTCCATAAAAATGTAACTGGCCATGAACAATGTTAAGTGGAGCACATGTGGCTAATGCAGACACATTGGATATGATAGTGCACTTACTTTAAAGTGTTTTAGAGTCCAGTGTCAATCATCACAGGCAGCTGGTAGCTCACCGGATCCTCTCAAACAAAGACTTACTCACAACCAAACTTAGCTACGACGATGCAAACAGAACTACTGATTCCAGTGCAGTGCAAGCTACTACAGCTCCATATTTCTTGCACAGATATGAGGTTGGTTCATCTAACTGTTGGAAAGAAAGCGATAAGCGTATTTTACTAAATAAAAAGATAACGTTTGTCAGAGCACCGTGGTGTTTGTGGTAAAGGACCAGCAGCACAGACAGACAGGAAGCACTAACAGGCCTTAATCACAGATAGAGACTGTTGGGTGTGTATGCTTTGCATCTGCAGTATGTACACTGTATGTGTGTGTGTGTGTGTGTGTGTGTGTGTGTGTGTGTGTGTGAACTGACTTGCTGTGAACTTCCTGTTTCTCAGAGGTTAAACAGTTGCTCTGCAGAGTTCAGTATCAGTCGCTGTTTGTTGATACGGTAGCAATTTGGGTTTTTGCGTATTTCAACCAGGCTGGTGAGTTATTCTCTCTCCTCTGTTTGTTTTACTTACTTTAATCTACTTTTCTAAACTGAAACTTCCTGTAGAGCAGAAGGAACTGACACTCTTACAAAAAGCTGAATACTTTGAGAAAATAAATACAATTTCAGTTTTATTTTAAAGACTGCAAAGGGAAACTAGAAAACTGTTTGTGTTGCAGCGGAGCGGCATTACTGAACCCAACGTCCAAAACTCAATTATATATCATAATGTTTGATGACAGAAGGAGCATTTTAATGTGGAATATATGAAGCATTTTGTGGGAGTTCTTGCCAACAGTGTGTGTGCAATTCAGTCAAATTCGAAGGTTTTAAAAAAGTAAATTTTCAAAGGCTGCAAACAAGTGTAGTAATGGAAAGTAACTAAAGACGTATTAAGTACAGTTTTAAAGGTACTTTCCATTTTACTTTACTTTATACTTCTCCACTGCATTTATTTTCCATATTAATAAGTAATATATAATATATTTAATGATATAAACGTCTGAAATGAGCTCTTCTGCATACAGTGAGTTCTTTTATTTACTTTAATTTTGTTGCTAATATGTTTGCACCGTTACTAAAGTAAAATTCTGAAGGCAGGACTTTTGTTTATTCCTGCAGAACATTTAAATGAAATCTTTTAACATCTAACTGAAGTTGCCCTAATGCCCCTTTCATCACTCATCACTGCAGCCTGTACTCTCTAGTCAACTGGCCTCAGGCATTGGATCCACAGGTATCACTTCATTTATAAAACCATAATTGGCAAAACCTTCATACTGTATCTCCAAAATCTCCAGCAGTGGACTCCTAAAGTCTTTATCTCCTTCGGCCATCACTCTTTGCAGTTTGCTGACTGGAACCAGCTGCAAAAGTCACTGAAACTGTACATCCTTATTCTGTTATCCTCCTTTAATAACTCAGTTCTTGTGTTAGTTTCTGATCTCTGCACCTGCTTTTGAACATAATCCTTTATGTGTCTCTGCTGTATTCAAACTGTATACATTGTGCTGTTTTATATGTGTTTGTTTGTATATATATATGGTTTTATATTTCAACAAATTATTACTTTTCTACTGGATTCCTTTAACAAACTAAATAAAGTCTCCTGTGTCGTATGTTGAAGCCATTTCCACAGGTCTGATCTAGGTTATAATCTAGAGGCTGTAAAAGTTTCCCACACTTCATCTAAACCACAGTTTCTTCTTTTTTCTGCATCCTTTCTCTATTTCCTTCCCCCACAGTTCAAACAACATGTCACTGATATTCATCCAATAAAACACTGTTAAACATCTCAAGTCACGATGAAGATAGCCGCCTTCAATGCCAAGAACCTGGGATGGAAAAAGGTCACAGACAAAACTGTCGTCCGCTACCTCACCAAGGTTGATCGTAGTTTTTTTTAAACCAATGATAATAACAACATATGTGCAACAGTGTGTGCTGGGATATATAAACAGTGCTGTGTCTGTTACAGATCATGTCTCAGTACAGTGTGGTGCTGATACTGGAGGTGGTGGATAAGAGCGGTAAGGCCATGGAGAAGTTACTTCAAGAGCTCAACAGCACCAGGTGAGTTCTCTGCACTGCGAAACTTTAGAAAAGAGAAGCTTGTTTTCTTACATCCAAAACATTTCCACATTTTCCACAACTCAGAATATTATAATGAAGCCTCAAAGCTTTATAAAAGTGCAGTTGGTTTCTTAGTATAGAAATGAGCTGACAAGGAGCAGTTAAATGAGCTAAATGTTGCTTTAATTTCAGTTTTCAGTTGCTAACAAGATTAAAAAGTTCAACTATGATGCAACTATGATGTTACAAATGAGCTGCTGTTAGAGTCAGACCCTAATGCAGGATGATCAGAGCGAGCCAGTGGCCATTATAGAAGTGAAAGTAATTATATGGAACCAGCCGTGCTATAAAAGATGAGTCATAACAGCCAGACTCAGACAATGATCGACTAAACTGCTTTGACCAAAGTGGTGACAGCTCACAGTGACACACATATGAAAGATTATCAGTGAGCACAAGCATGTAAATGGATTATTGTACAACATAAATGTACAAACTGTAGAGTTATGAGCCAATAAAATGTTTGTATAGAGTATATTGTATAAGTGTTTCATGTTGTTAATGAATGTGAAGGACATCAAGTGTGACACGGGGACACGGTGGAATAAGAGACTTAACTGACTAATATACATACGTAGCAACATACAACAACATCTAAATTATTATAGTTAAATCAAACAGCTCATAGCAACCACATCACCTCCATATACGGTAGTTAAACGCCGCTGGAGCCTCGTCAGTAGTATGAAGTGATTAAATTTATCTCTCAGCTGAAACATGAAATCATCAAAATCATCATCAGGTTAAATAATAAAATTGTTATTATTTTTTAATGTTAATAATAACATTATTAAGCTTTTGTTAATAGGCCTGAGGTTAATAATGAACAGATGAATAATAAATAAATTAGTAAAATAAAATAAAAAGAATCAGAATCAGTTTGAGTTTGTTTATTCTGAGATTTAAAACGATTATAATCAGAATATTTGGCTCCATGTAAACATTGTTATTGTGAACATGAAGCATTAATAAAGCTTCCCAGAGCTGCAAGCGTAGCTACAACACTGATGTCAGGAGGTTTTATTATCAAAAATACCATCTTACAAACATAACTGACTTAACCAAACCAAGTAGCACTGATGCTTAAAACCAAACTGCAACCGTTTCACAGCGTTGACCACGTGTTTATCACTGTTACCATGACAACCAAGATCACCCGACCTCTTCATTGCCAGCAAATACACAAAGATATTAGGGGTTAAGAACTCCAAGGTGAGCGTGTATTTCCGGAAAAGAACGGGCCTTTGAAGCCTTTGAAGCCTTTGAAGCGGTAGACTTTTTGTTTTCAGGATGTCGGAGGACATTTTTCCAGACTGTTGGGATTTCGGAATAATGGGCTGTTGGAACAATGAGCACGTTGCAGCTAAAACCCCCCAAAAAAGGTTGTTACACAAACTTAATGATTAATGATCTCCTGTTGTGTTGTTTCTGTTTCCCTCAGCTCTAACCGAACCCGTCCCTACTCCATAATCGCCAGCTCCCAGCTGGGTCGAGACACCTACAAGGAGCAGTTTGTTTGTTTCTACAGGTACGAGACCCCGAGTGTCACCGTCCACCTCCACATAAAGGAGCAGCTCACTCCTGAAGTAAAGCTGTTAGGAAGTGGTGTGGTGCCAAAGTGTTAGTGTGCAGAATCAGCTTCAACCGCACTGTGTCTTTCTCATGCAGCATGCAAACACCTCATGTCTTATACAATATATGTGTGTGTGTGTGTGTGTGTCACAGAAAGGATGAGGTGACGCTGGCAGCTTGTCATCAGTATGAAGACAATCAGGCTGGAGATGTTGACGCCTTCGCCAGAGAGCCCTTCATCCTGCGCTTCAGCTGTCCGACTACAGGTGTGTGTTTCTGTAGGTGTTTGTTTCCACGTGTGTTTTAGTTTCTGCATCCTCTAACTTTGTGTATTCCAGTTGTGAAAGACCTGGTGCTGATCCCAGTCCACACCAAGCCGGAGGACTCGGAGAAGGAGCTGGACGAGCTGCATGATGTGGTTGTCGCTATCAGGAAGAAGTGGGGAACTGATGTAGGTCCGACAGTCAGACTCTTAAAGACAGTGCCTCAAAAGGGTGAAAGCAGTCGGATTTGTTTCCTTCATAACTCAAAGTAATTCAAAGCAGGTTTGGGAACTAATTTTAACTACAGAAACATTTTTAGCCTCTGGTGTCACAAAATGTTGCAGCACAACTCAGTAAGATTACAGATTTTCATTTAATACACCTTGAAGTGCAATTTCTTGCCATATAGAGCCGTTGATCATAACAAATAAAACTGCTCTTTTACACAACATTAAGTGCATCGTATGTCGACAGTCTTCTTATCAGTTTGGTATCAATATAATCCGTAAAGATGAGCAGTTGTAGCTGCACTTAGTGGGAGAAGAAGTGTTGGTTGGTTGTTTAGATAGCCAGCGTTAGGGTAAAGAAAACACTGAATTTGTCAATAAAGAAACCTATTAAGTCTGTATGATTGTTAAAAATAAATAAAAACATAATACAGATGGAGAATTGTATAAAAAGTTCCTCAAAATATCAATAAAAACTCATCTCTGATCAATATTCATGGCAAATGATCAATTCATCCAAATCTTCTGCAGTTATTGTGTTTAATATTTACAGTTTTATGCATTGAATATAATATTAAATATTCATAAAATATAATTTAGTTAGTGGTCGACAGTCTTAGATTAGGCAAAATTGTGAGTTTAGGTTTTAAATTTAAGATTTATAGGTGTTACAAATGTCTAAAGAGCAGAGTTTTGCTGCCCTCTGGTTGAAAGGTTCAACCCTGTTTCACAGTTAAACCACTGGAGGTCAGTAAAAACAAGATTTTCAGAGTTACTCTTGTTATTTCTTTGGCAGAATATTATGATTTTGGGGGACTTCAATGCGGATGGACGTTATCTCTCCAAGAAGAAGAAGGACAAGATTCGAATCTGCTCCGCTCCCTACTATTGGCTGATAGAGGATGACGTCGACACAACGTCCAGTAACTGTAATGACCACACCTACGACAGGTACGACACGTCTCACTGCAGGTTGCTGTCTTTTAGAATCACCTTTTAAACTGCGACCCATCTTCTTGCCAACAGGATCGTAGTGTACGGGCAGACCGTGCTGGACGCCATCGTCCCCGGCTCAGCCAAGTCCTTCAACTTCCAGAGAGAGTTCAAGCTGACCGATGAGGAAGTAAGACATGTTTGTGTTGATCGGCACAACCTCTCTAAAGGAGAGTCTTTATTCAAAATGTGACTTTGTTTGCTTTCCCAAGACTCGCAGTATCAGTGACCATTACCCTGTGGAGGTGGAGCTGAGGACCAATCAGAAAGCACCGAGACAAAGGAACATGGCTCTGCCCCAAACCACAAAGCCAACGTCCACCCAAAGACGAACCCCGAAGAAAGGTCCACAACACAAACTGTATATAAAGTTTACACTGTATAAATTATCATATCATTTCTTTCAGCAAAGGTTGAACCGATCAATAATCTCACATTCTGACTGCGATTAAATTTCACTTGATCAGTTACAACCTTTGATTAATTATTTAAATCAGTTTCACATAGATACCTTGGGGTCAAATTAAAGTACAATATAACAAGTAGAAGCACTTAATTCAAAAACCTACTTCAGTAAAAGTATATAAGTATTAAAGTATCCCTGATACATTTACACATTATTAGATTGTTAATACTGATCTAGTTACTCAAATGTAGTTTATTACTCATTGACTCTTTTAAAAAGTAATATGACTTTATTTATAACTCCCCATCAACAGTAATTAATTACACTGACGACGAATAAAATCCAGTTTTCTTTGTTAAAATCAAAGTAATGTGATTACTTCCAGCTTCTGAATGTTTCCATCTTCCAAACTTGTTTCCTCCACAAATACAAAAATTAATCCAACGATGTGATTGAGGTTGTTGGATTTCAAATCAAAAGTAATGTTGTAACTAATTATATTTTGGGGGGTAACTGTGATATTATTACTGAAATATAGTTACACTACTAGTTATTAATTATAATACTGAGTGTTTTTTCTGGCTCAACCGCACATTTCAGTTTTGCTCTGTTTGTGTAAACTGAACACTAACAGGGCGACAGCAGATGAAGAAGGCCGAGCCGTCGGCTGTACAGAAGAACAGTAAGAAGAAGGAGACAACCAAAAGGAAGACAGGACAGTCATCAAACACACCGGCCAAGAGAAGACGTTTAGAGAGACGATGAATAAACCGACGTTAAAGTCAGATTTTGCTTCTATTAATACTTTTAAATGTGTTATTAGAGTTAAAAATATGGTGTGTTGCAGCTTCCTGGTTATTTGAATCTGCCGTTGCTTAATCTGGAAGACACAGCAGGTAGTTTACCTTGATAGAGAGTTTTTACTGCATTAATATTGTCAACCATCTAGGTGAATCTACTGTAGCAATGAGGCTTTAATAAAAGTTATTACCAACGCTGTGTATTATATTTTTCTTCAATGGACAAAGATAACAAGTTTAATATACACATAAATACACACACACACACACAGACACACACTGTAGATAAATATAAAATGTCCAGGCGGGGGCTCCCTTCTTCTATCGCTCACTGGGCGCATCAACATGATAAAAAATGGCCAATTTACCAAATTTCTTCTTTTTCTTTTTTCCAACACATTTTGTGTCAGTCTTGATCAACAGTTGAAAACTTTCCTCTGGAACAATAAACCAGCTCGTCTTCACACTTTCCATCAGTATGATAAAAATGGGATAAAAGCTTCTCATATTATGTCTGCAGCACAAAATGTGATTTAAACATCTACAAAATAATCCCAGAATATGTGATTACTGCTGCGGCATAATTATTTGTGTGTTTATACAAGCCAAAGGAAATAAGCACAGCATGTTCTCTCTGTCGGGAACAAAAGGAGAATAAAAACAATATAAAATATATATATATATATAAAATATTTGATACCTGATGTTATTATTAGTTGCTATTATTACTATCACTATCACTATTGCTTTAAGTTTGAGTTAAAATGTCAATATAGTCTCAAGAGTAGAGCTGATCTGTCTTTTCTTTCTGTGCTGCTGTTGTTCAGAGTATATTTGCTCTAGTGCTGTAGTTATACAACACCCAGCAATAAATCTGTACTATGGACTGAAACACACACTCTCACACTGAATGAGCCAACAGCATTCAGCAGGGCGGTCTTACGAAGCTCCACCTCCGTGACTCAACAGTGACAAACCAGTAAACAGTGTTATTCTTCCTCACTAAAGAGGGACTCACAGATTGAAACACAGACGATCAGATTCACCCTCAACTCTCCTCTTCCTCTGAGTTCAGCTACAGGAGAGAAAACTACAACCTGCTGACGCTCCACATACTGAATGTGAGTTTGACTAGAAACTTAAATAAATCTCCAGTGAAGCTGGTAGAGGAGGGAGGAGAGACTGACTGACTTCACTGTTTGTGTTTTCAGCCTCACTCAGAGACGTAATGGATTCAAGATCAGAGGAGTATCTCTGCTGTCCGGTCTGTCATGACGTCTTTAGAGATCCTGTTCTTCTGTCATGTAGCCACAGCTTCTGTAAAGACTGTCTGAAGAGCTGGTGGGGAGAGAAACAATCAAAGAAAGAATGTCCAGTTTGTAAGAGAAAATCTTCAAAGACAGAACCACCTTCAAACCTGGTGTTAAAGAACCTGTGTGAGGCCTTCTTGTTGGAGAGAGACCAGAGATCTTCAGAGGCTCTCTGCAGTCTGCACTCGGAGAAACTCAAACTCTTCTGTCTGGACCATCAGCAGCCAGTTTGTGTCGTCTGCAGAGATTCAGAAAAACACACCAACCATAGATTCAAACCCATCAATGAAGCTGCACGACAACAGAAGAGGACACTTGAGGAAACTCTGGAGCCCTTAAAGGAGAAGTTAAAGGTTTGTGAAGGAGTTAAAGATAAGTGTGATCAAACAGCAGAACACATTAAGTTGCAGGCCCAACAGACAGAGAAGCAGATTAAGGAGCAGTTTAAGAAGCTTCACCAGTTTCTAGAAGAGGAAGAGGAGACCAGGCTGGCTGCACTGAGGGAGGAAGAGGAGCAGAAGAGTCAGGTGATGAAGGGGAAGATTGAGGCTCTGGGCAGAGAGATAGCAGCTCTTTCAGACACAGTCAGAGCCACAGAGGAGGAGCTGAGAGCTGAAGATGCCATATTTCTGATCAACTACAAGGCTGCAGTGAAAAGAGTCCAGCAGCGCCCCCTGCTGGAGGATCCACAGCTGCCCTCAGGAGCTCTGATAGACGAGGCCAAACACCTGGGCAACCTGACCTTCAACATCTGGAACAAGATGAAGGAAATGGTCTCCTACAGTCCTGTGATTCTGGATCCAAACACTGCTCATCCAAACCTCATCCTTTCTGAAGATCTGACCTCTGTGAGACGAAGAGAGGAACAGCAGCTTCCTGACAATCCAGAGAGGTTTGATTGTTACTACCGAGTCCTGGGCTCTGAGGGCTTTAACTCAGGGACTCACAGCTGGGATGTCGAGGTTGGAGACAGTCCAGTCTGGTCTCTGGGTGTGTTGGCAGAGTCTGCGCAGAGGAAGGGAGACATACAGTCTGGATTATGCGGAATATGGTCTGATGTAGATAAACACTATGCACGGTCACTACCGGGTCCAGTCATTGAACTCAAAGTGCAGAAGAAGGTCCAGAGGATCAGAGTGAATCTGGACTGGAACAGAAGAAAGCTGTCGTTCTCTGATCCTGATACTAACACACACATACACACCTTCACACACACTTTCACTGAGAGGATGTTTCCTTACATTCGCATGACGAATAAACTGAAGATATTACCACTGAAGGTCTGTGTGACACTGCAACAGAAAGGTTAGAGATAAAGAGGATGATTGTATTCATAATAATACTTATTTCTTAATGCACCTTCAGTTTGTGGATCCTGCTTGTTTATAATTGTTTAAGAGGGTAGTGATTTAAAAAGCCTTTAATATCTAATGGCTATTTACTCATACTAACAGTTTAAAAAAAATCTTACGCTTTCACTCATGCAGGTCAACTTTCCAGTACGATTAAAGTCTTTGTTTGCCTTTCAATGTGAATGCTCCTTAAAAGTATAAAAGTATCCACAAAAGAGAAAATAAATGTACGATTAAAAATTTTCAATGTGTTAAAAAAATAAAGAAAAATAATCAATATATCAATAAATGCATGTTCGAGCATCCAATCATTGTTCAAATACAAAAGACTTTATTTTAAATTCTTGTAGAAATTACAAAATAAGACATTTTATCTTCACTACAAAAGAACCCAAATATTCTTACATATAATTATATTTTCTTGTATTGAGCAACAAAATCTGCCACTGGGGTAAATAGAGTTAACTTGACTAGAATTATTAAAACTAGCATAAAAATCTGACCACTGAAAGACTGTAAAGGTCCTTAAAACTAGAATAAATGCCATGAATGTAAGGAAGTTGTGCTCATTAAGCTCATAAGATTTCTTTTAAAAATAAGTATTTTAGTCACTTTATTGAGCTAAATTAAAGACACAATTTGCAGCATAATAACAATAAGTGACTTTGTATTAAATTAACCTTTACAACCTTAACCTTTATATTGTTTATAATTTTTTATTAAAACAGTTAAAAACTGAACAGCTGCTTCATTTCCAACACTGGGACACAACGACTTTCTCTTAAACTGAGAAGTTGTGCGAGTGCTCTTACTCTGAAAATAATGAAAATAATCAGATTCCTCTGCTGGGATATTACACAACCATAACTTAACTTAGCTTTAATATCTTATTAAGACAAATGCAAAACATGCTTAACAAGATTATTTTTTTATTATTTTTCTTTTTAGACAAAAATTAAGACTCATTTTCCAGAACAAGGTTGTTTTTTTACTTTTATGAGATTCCTTCTCTGCAGTGTATGTGAAAGCACTTACTGTGTCCAAATAACATCGTGTGTGTCTGTTTACAACATTAAGAACACGTAAACAGATACTCCAGACGCAGACCGTCCTGCAGTGACACACCAGTTTCAGTTCACACGCTGTCGACCTCAACTGAACCAGAAAGACAAAAACAAAAGGAACAACTTCAGAGGAAATGTGGTTTTCCTCATGCAGCCTTGTGGTTTGTGTGTGCAGGAAACGTCACATGTCGACATTGTTGTGTTTGAGCTGTGCAACAGGACAGAGTCAAACCAAGAACAACAAGTGCAGATGTCTGGAGGCAAATAAGGTCTCTGAATGTAACATTTACACTGTAAATCCTGACAGCACATCTTCTTAAAATAAGTAACCTAACATAACTTAATCCTCCAGCTGCCCATTAAATTGTTGATGTAATGACTCAGTTGTTTTAAGTGCATTTTAATTGCGCATTGTTTTAAGTATTGGGGATATAAACTCCAGTTTGTTCCACTGATTCATTTTCTTTAAGTTGTCTTCATATCAGTGCACAATGTAAGCCTGAAAATTAATTGGCTGCTATCAATTAATTATACATGTTTTCATCATACGTCAGCTGTTCCTACAGGTAATTTAATAATTTGCTTTAGTGGAAGAAAACTGAGTAAATTCAGTTGAAGTGGAAACATTTGTATAAAGAAGATTAATTTAAGTGACTTTATTCAAATCAATTCTTGTGAACACATTTTACATAAGTTTGGAGAAATGCTGCATATTATTATAAAATACTAGTTTTAAGTAACTTCATTTAAACTTCACAATAAATTAGTTACTTGTCAAATTAAATGTTTTTTTTCATGCCTAAATTGTTGGAATCAGTTCATGTCATAATGTTTTGCAGTTTAATGTCAACAGCCCTCTTATATGTGTACATATGTATGTTTCATCTGACTCACTGAAGGAATCATTTACTCCTCTACAATCTACATTTGATTATATAAATTACTTATGATCACTTTCATTGATTTTTTTATTGGTTTCACTGAAGCAACCTGTTTAAAAATGACCAGCCATAATAATTGTGAGACCATTTTATATTTTTGTCATTTGTATATATCTAATGGAATTTTATTTTATTTAGTCATTTTTAGGTTTGAAGATCTTTGTATTTAATCAATGAACAAACTATAGCATCACTATAAATTATAATCAATGAAAATGGCCAATGTCTTTTTCCAACTAGGGCCACACGATGTGGTAAAAGTCTCATATTATTATTATCTTGACAGATATTGTGGTTGTGAGAAGATTGACAATTAGTGTGGGAATGTTTTGGGGGTCCGTACCAAACAAACATGTTTCCTTTAATCTGGAGAACAAGGTTTGTGGGTCGGAGCGTCTCTTCAGAACAACAGAATTTCATTATAATCCTGTTTTTAATTTTTCCTTTATCAAAACATTGCAGATTACATATATGACCATATTGTGATTTCAGTAATATTTAGATTAATTGTGCAGCCCTTATTCCAACTTCACAAAAATATGTGATAAAAGTTAAAATATTCTATTCTTCCTTTTATTGGGGAGCCCCTACAACCCACTCAAGGACCCCTGTTAGTTAGTCTCCAGTTTGAAAATCACTGGTTTAGAGAACATTTGCTCAGGCACTGAACTTGTAACCAGGGTGTGAACTACAGGGGAGTCAGAGGGATTTTGTCTCCTCTTAATAAGACATGAACTCCCCTGAAAACATGATTTTTGACATTTTGAGGGGTCTCTGAAATACTGAGAATATGCTATTTTGATCATGTATCTTTCTGTATCTTCACAATCCTGGATAATAAAAACTAATGCATGAGGGTGATCTAATTCACTCACTCGCTTTAACTCAGAGATTTAAAAAACTGCCTGAGTCTTCGCCCTGAACAGCCATTATTCAATGTTCTTCTTTGTAGACAGCATACTGTGAGTCACTGAGTCAAGCACCCACTCTTAAGAGAAAAATTAGCTCCCCTGAAAGCCACACTGCTTGTAACATCCAGCAATGTGAGGAATGACACACACCCCAGTGTTACATGAGCCAACAGCATTCGGTCTGACAAAGCTCCACCCCCGACTCACCAATGACAAACCAGGAAACAGTCTGTTATTCTTCCTCATTAAAGAAAAGACACACAGACGATCAGATTCACCATCAGACCAAAACCAACAACTTCCTCTGAGTGAGTTCAGCTACAGCAGAGAAAAGTGGAAGAACTGCTACTGCTTCAATCTGCTGAATGTGAGTTTGACTAAAAGCTCAAAGTGAAAGTAAATGTGAGTGAAGCTGGTAGAGGAGGGAGGAGAGACTGACTGACTGTTTGGGTTTTCAGCTTCACTCAGAGACAAAATGGCTTCAAGATCAGAGGAGTATCTCTGCTGTCCGGTCTGTCATGACGTCTTTACAGATCCTGTTCTTCTGTCATGTAGCCACAGCTTCTGCAGAGACTGTCTGAAGAGCTGGTGGGGAGTGAAACAATCCCGCCAGTGTCCACTTTGTAAGATGCTGTCTTCAAAGACAGAACCACCTTTAAACCTGGTGTTAAAGAACCTGTGTGAGGCCTTCTTGTTGGAGAGAGACCAGAAAGCTTTAGGGGCTCTCTGCAGTCTGCACTCTGAGAGATTCACTCTCTTCTGTCTGGACGATCAGCAGCCAGTTTGTGTCGTCTGCAGAGATTCAGAAAAACATGGCAGCCACAGATTTAAACCCATCGATGAAGCTGCACGACAACAGAAGAGGACACTTGAGGAAACTCTGGAGCCCTTAAAGGAGGAGTTAAAGGTTTATGAACAAGTTAAAGTGAAGTTTAATCAAACAGCAGAACACATTAAGGTCCAGGCCCAACAGGCAGAGAGGCAGATCAAGGAGCAGTTTAAGAAGCTTCACCTGTTTCTACAAGAGGAAGAGGAGGCCAGGCTGACTGCACTGAGGGAGGAAGAGGAGCAGAAGAGTAAGATGATGAAGGAGAAGATGGACGCTCTGAGCAGAGAGATAGCAGCTCTTTCAGACACAGTCAGAGCCACAGAGGAGGAGCTGAGAGCTGAAGACGTCTCATTCCTGAGCAACTACAAGGCTGCAGTGGAAAGAGTCCAGCAGCGCCTCCTACTGGAGGATCCACAGCTGCCCTCAGGAGATCTGATAGACGAGGCCAAACACCTGGGCAACCTGACCTTCAGCATCTGGAACAAGATGAAAGACATGGTCTCCTACAGTCCTGTGATTCTGGATCCAAACACTGCTCATCCAAACCTCATCCTTTCTGAAGATCTGACCTCTGTGAAACGAGGACACGGATGCAAGCTTCCTGAAAATCCAGAGAGGTTTGATTTGTATCCCGTTGTTCTGGGCTCTGAGGGCTTCAACTCAGGGACTCACAGCTGGGATGTCGAGGTTGGAGACAGTATTTCCTGGAGACTGGGCGTGTTAGCAGAGTCTGCACAGAGGAAGAGACTCATACAGTCTGGATTATGGGTGATATGGTTTTGTGGAGGTAAATACTCAGCGTGGTCGCCACCGGGTCCACCCACTGCTCTCCGAGTGCAGAAGAAGCTCCAGAGGATCAGACTGAATCTGGACTGGAACAGAGGAAAGTTGTCGTTCTCTGATCCTGATACTAACACACAAATACACACCTTCACACACACTTTCACTGAGAGGATGTTTCCTTACATTAACAGCTGGGATAAACTGAAGATATTACCACTGAAGGTCTGTGGTAATATGACTTTATTTGCCTTCCAAGACTCTCAGTTTCAGTGAGCATGAACGCTGTTGGAGGTGGAGCTGAAGACCAATCAGAAAGCACCAAGACAAAGGACCACAGCTCTGCCCCGAACCACAAAGACACCTCGTACTGTTTTACATAAAGGTCCAACTATTTAATCAAACTCCATTTTGGTTTGATTTCAGTTCTTCCAGCAAAGGTTTAATGGATCAATAATCTCACATTCTGACTGCAGTTCAATTAGGCTGCGTTCACACTGCAGGCACAAGTTTATTCACAAAGAATCTGATCTTTGAAGTTCTGATTTGGGCCACTTTATCACTTTATTATGGTCCAAATCAGATGCAGGTCTTTTTTTTCTCCATATCATATCCATAATATCCATATTAATATGACTTTTACGTCACTCTAGATTTACATTTGATCCTGTTCACACTAGAATCTGATACTTCCTGAGGCTTGCAGTGTGAAAGTAGCCTTACATTCATTTCAGTTCCACTCGATCAATCCCATCCTTTCATGTAGAAGAAGCACTCAGATCCTTAACTGGAGTAAAAGCACCAGTTCAAAAATGTAAGAAATCTCTGTTACAGGTGAAAGTACTTCATTCAAAATCCTACTGAAGTATCACTGATAGTTTATCAGTAAAGTACTCATTGTGCAGAAAAATACATTTCCTGTGAGTTTTATGTAACATATGATATTATTACTGATGCATAAGTGTGTAAGTTACTTTTTACTGCTGCAGCTGCTCCAGGTGGAGCTGGTTTTCACTACTTTTATACAGTTAGTTAGCTAGTTCAGTGCAGTGGGGAGCCAAATAGGACTTTTCTAATATAGTTTCAAAGCAATATTCTAACAGACACCAGTTTGTGATAATAACTCGGTATGTTTTCCTCTGTTCTTAATAATATGTACATTTTAGTTTTTATTACTGAGAAACAAGTGGGATTATTCCAGATAACTCAGTATACACTATAAATTCTACAAATAGGCGTAGAACTAATGTCTAAGAATTAATTTGGTTTAAAGATAACATGCATCATCTGGTATTAATATGTGCTTATGTTGTATTTATAAACAGTTATTGGCCAATATTCAGTGTTTTCTCCCCACTCAGGATGTAAAGAGGTCAATATTGGTCGGTCAATCAATCCGTCTTCCTGTCTGACTTCTGTCCAAAATATCAGATGATTGTTTCTGACCTTTTGTGTGGTCCCTACGTCAGGTCAACATGTCCATAAAAATAACGTCCAGACTTCATTAAAGTTCTCTGAATATGTCTTTTCCTCAGTACTCAAGCCTCTATGTGCATAAAAGATATATATCAAAACTTAACACGCAGTTTGTGATTTTATTTACTGAGCAGCACATTCACGGTGTTACAATCAATCTACATTTCCAGCTATGAAACAAAACTAAAACACACTCACACCTGTGAAGCAGAGGAGGTCCAATAAAGCTCCACCCCTCACCCGACTCAGCAATGACAAACCAGGAAACAGCCTGTTATTCTTCCTCATTACAGAAAAGACACACAGACGATCAGATTGACCTTCAGACCAAACTAACAGCTTCCTCTGAGTGAGTTCAGCAACAGCAGAGAGAAGTAGAAGAAGAAGTAGAGGAATTACAACAATACTGCCTCAACCGGCTGTAAGTTTGACTAAAAGCTCAAAGTGAAAGTAAATCTTCAGTGAAGCTGGTAGAGGGGGGAGGAGAGACTGACTGACTGTACTTTCTGTTTGTGTTTTCAGCGCAATGGCTTCAAAAACAGAGGAGCATCTCTGCTGTCCGATCTGTCATGACGTCTTTAGGAGTCCCGTACTGCTTTTATGTAGCCACAACTTCTGTAGAGACTGTCTGAAGATCTGGTGGGGAGACAAAAAATCATGTGAGTGTCCAGTTTGTAAAAGAAGATCTTCGAAGGCTAAACCCCCTATAAACCTGGTGTTAAAGAACCTGTGTGAGGCCTTCTTGTTGGAGAGAGACCAGAAAGCTTTAGGGGCTCTCTGCAGTCTGCACTCTGAGAGATTCACTCTCTTCTGTCTGGACGATCAGCAGCCAGTTTGTGTCGTCTGCAGAGATTCAGAAAAACACGGCAGCCACAGAATCAAACCCATCGATGAAGCTGCACGACAACAGAAGAAGGAACTTGAGGAAACTCTGGAGCCCTTAAAGGAGGAGTTAAAGGTTTATGAACAAGTTAAAGTGAAGTTTAATCAAACAGCAGAACACATTAAGGTCCAGGCCCAACAGGCAGAGAGGCTGATTAAGGAGCAGTTTAAAAAGCTTCACCTGTTTCTACAAGAGGAAGAGGAGACCAGGCTGGCTGCACTGAGGGAGGAAGAGGAGCAGAAGAGTAAGATGATGAAGGAGAAGATGGACGCTCTGAGCAGAGAGATAGCAGCTCTTTCAGACACAGTCAGAGCCACAGAGGAGGAGCTGAGAGCTGAAGATGTCTCATTCCTGAGCAACTACAAGGCTGCAGTGGAAAGAGTCCAGCAGCGCCCCCTGCTGGAGGATCCACAGCTGCCCTCAGGAGCTCTGATAGACGAGGCCAAACACCTGGGCAACCTGACCTTCAACATCTGGAACAAGATGAAAGACATGGTCTCCTACACTCCTGTGATTCTGGATCCAAACTCTGTTTATCATGAGCTGATCCTGTCTGAAGATCTGACCTCTGTGAGAGCAGGAGAGGAACAGCGACTTCCTGATAATCCAGAGAGGTTTGATGAATACTGGTCTGTCCTGGGCTCTGAGGGCTTCAACTCTGGGACTCACAGCTGGGATGTCGAGATTGGAGACGATACAAACTGGTCTCTGGGTGTGTTAGCAGAGTCTGTGCAGAGGAAGGGAGACATACAGTCTGGATTATGGGGAATCGGGTTCCACAGAGGTAAACACTATGCACGGTCACTACCAGGTCCACCCACTGCTCTCCGAGGGCAGAAGAGGCTCCAGAGGATCAGAGTGAATCTGGACTGGAACAGAAGAAAGCTGTCGTTCTGTGATCCTGATACTAACACACACATACACACCTTCACACACACTTTCCCTGAGAGGATGTTTCCATACATTAGTACTGGGAATAAACTGAAGATATCACCACTGAAGGTCTGTGTGACACTGGAGCAGAAAGGTTAGAGATAAAGAAGATGATTATATTCATAATAATGTTTTTTTAAAGGGAAAAAGCACTGAATTTAATTTAACTGCAAACACTCATTTTTCTTTCAGTTATTATTTATGTTGTTTTCATTTTTGTTGTTGTTTAGTTTTACAATTAGGAAGTAGGAGGAAAATGATTTCACTCTGTTTGAGATTGTCATGTTTTTTTAAAAGATATTGTTAATTTAAGTAGTTAATTTGTTCATTATTTTGACATTTGTGTGTGTTGAAGCTGATTTTGACCCAAATGAAGTTTACTGTCATATGCACAGTTAAAAACTGTGATCTTCCTTTGCTCTCCACTGTGAATGTTTGTATAAAGTATCCAATACAGAGAAAATAAATATGTAAAAACAGTATCTACAATAACATTACACAAAGTAAGAAAATATGAAGAAAAAATAAAGAATCAGTTTCTAAATAACTGTTTGTTTGAGCTGCCAGTCATTGTTTGAATCCAGTAAACCAGAACTCTCTGTTGTTTCTCCCTTCAGATAGAAAGAAAGGGCAAACAGATCAATATATAAATGTCAGAATTAGTTTGTTCTCTTTTTTAGATTGTTTTTCTCTACACACTCTGATACAGTAGATGGCAGGATGCACCTTCAAATGTTGGTTTTGCAACACGCGTACAAGGAAGAAATGAAAAAGAAAATATATGAATTTGGTAGAAAAAGTGTGGTGAGGACATTAAGATTAAGAACATATTATCTAATATAAAATACAAAGAGCAGAGTTTGATTTAAATGAGACAGTATTTCTGTTGGGAAAAGTACACTAAAAAGTATGTGCAACTATATATATGTATAACAGAAAATGCTGAACACTTAAAGCACTGACTAAAATATAATAAATGAAGGATGTTTGCAACGAAGAGTGGAAGGCGGGACGAGGATGAGATTTGGGAACAAATGGTGATAATTTGTAGGAAACTCAGAGAATGTTGATATATTTATTTAATTAACACCAAATTATTTTTTAGAATATTGTTGTTTTTATATAAAGTTATTATAAACAGTTGTATCTGTTGTACATACTCCGGACCGGTAGGAGGCGCTGTGCTCCTAAAAGTTGGTATTGCACTCTACTAAAATAAGAACGCATCGAAGAAGAAGTAGAAGACGACAAACAGGCGGTCAGATTTAATTCTTCGTTCCTCTAAAAGTGAATTTAACTAAAGAAAGAAGAAAACTACAACACTGCTGCTTCAACCCGCGGACACATTACACAAACTGGATGTGAGTTCAGGACTAAAAAGTGAAAGTTGAAGCCGATTTCGGAGAAGTTAGCGGAGGACGGAGGAGAGAGTTTCCCGCTACGCGTCCGCCATATTGGGTCGGGCAAGACTCACCTTTACACAGTAAGTTAACGGAGGAGCTGCAGCTTTTATAGATTAAAAACACTAAAACTATTTCATTTATCTGGTTTTTTATTATCTATACCTGGAGTAGACATAAAAACGTTTGTCTCTAGTTATTTATTATCGTTCTAGTTTGGTTATAATCTGCTCAACAGAGGAGTGTCCATCTTACATGAACTGAATTATTTCCATGGTGGAAAATAATTAACTGTCTTAATGAATTATTGCATTTGGCTTATATTTTATAATTGATTTGTATTATAGAAATAGGTCATTCTGTCATAATAAACTAGGCTAAAAAGTAAAAAAAACTCCTGCACACAGTATTTTTTAAAGTGTGTGTGTTTATATATAAATCACCAATGACCAACAACATATATAGAAATAAAGTGTTTCACTGTAAGTTGTAATCAGTACAAAGGTACAAAGGGAATATTGATATGTATATGCAGTACATGGAGTGGATAAATACATGATGTAGTGTAATAGTATTCAGATATATTTACTGATTCAAAAATGTAATTAAATTACAGTTAATAATATCTTGGTCATTACAAAGGGGTTACATATATACTTTAATATAATATTTAATGTATACATTCTTCTGTCAACCACGGTTTATTGTTGTATGTAGACGGTTTTACTTTGCACTCACATGTCCTCACAAAACTGTCGTCAGATGTTATTTTCTCACCAAACAAGGTGAATTAAGGGTTTATTTGGACAAGCATTGGTGATTGTTGGACTAACAGTGAAGGTTTTAAAGTGTTTCCAATGATCTACTCAGTGAAATTACTGTTTTTGTAGATGGAGTCGGCTGTAGTGCTCATTGTTCTGGTGCTCAACATGAAGTTAATTTCTTATATAACCTTTTATAAATCAATATGCAATCACTGTAACACAGCAAAGTGTCCATTCATTCAGGTTTCTGTCTCTCTTTTTAATTGTTGTCTGTGAGCTTCTATAAAGCCTGACTGTACTTTCTGTCTGCTGTGTTTTCAGATCCGCTCGGACACAAAATGGCTTCCAGATTAGAGGATGATCTCTGCTGCCCGGTCTGTCACGACATCTTTAAAGATCCCGTTTTTCTGTCTTGTAGCCACAGCTTCTGTAAAAGGTGTCTGAACAAGTGGTGGACAAACAAACGGACACGTTTGTGTGCGGTTTGTAAGGCGGTATCTTCCACCGGTTACCCACCTTTAAACCTGGTGTTAAAGAACCTGTGTGAGGCCTTCTTGTTGGAGAGAGACCAGAAAGCTTCAGAGGCTCTCTGCAGTCTGCACTCGGAGAAACTGAAACTCTTCTGTCTGGACGATCAGCAGCCAGTTTGTGTCGTCTGCAGAGATTCAGAAGAACACCGCAGCCACAGATTCAAACCCATCTATGAAGTTACACGACCACAGAAGAAGGAACTTGAGGAAACTCTGGAACCCTTAAAGGAGAAATTAAAGGTTTCTGAACAAGTTAAAGTGAAGTTGAATCAAACAGCAAAACACATTAAGGTCCAGGCCCGACGCACAGAGAGGCTGATTAAGGAGCAATATAGTAAGCTTCACCTGTTTCTACAAGACGAAGAGGAGGCCAGGCTGGCTGCACTGAGGGAGGAAGAGGAGCAGAAGAGTCGGATGATGAAGGAGAAGATTGAGGCTCTGAGCAGAGAGATAGCAGCTCTTTCAGACGCAGTCAGAGCCACAGAGGAGGAGCTGAGAGCTGAAGATGCCATATTTCTGATCAACTACAAGGCTGCAGTGGAAAGAGTCCAGCAGCGCCCCCTGCTGGAGGATCCACAGCTGCCCTCTGAAGCTCTGATAGATGAGGCCAAACACCTGGGCAACCTCAGCTTCCACATCTGGAACCAGATGAAAGAGATGGTCTCCTACAGTCCTGTGAGTCTGGATCCAAACACTGCTCATCCAGACCTCATCCTTTCTGAAGATCTGACCTCTGTGAGAGAAGGAGAGGAACAGCGACTTCCTGACAATCCAGAACGGTTTGAGTGTTTACCCGTTGTTCTGGGCTCTGAGGGCTTCAACTCTGGGACTCACAGATGGGATGTCGAGGTTGGAGACAGTCCAGTCTGGTCTCTGGGCGTGTTAGCAGAGTCTGTGCAGAGGAAGGGAGATATACAGTCTGGATTTTGGGGAATCGGGTTCCGTAAAGGTAAATACTCAACAGGACCAACCACCATCCTCAGCTTCCAGGAGAAGGTCCAGAGGATCACAGTGAATCTGGACTGGAACGGAGGAACGCTGTCGTTCTCTGATCCTGATACTAACGCACACATACACACCTTCACACACTCTTTCACTGAGAGGATGTTTCCGTACGTTAACAGCTGGGATAAACTGAAGATCGTACCACTGAAGGTCTGTGTGACTCTGGAGCAGAAAGGTTAGAGATGAAGAGGATGATGGCCCAAATATTCGACTATTCGGATTTGTTCTTAAGTTTTCGGTTTCCAGTTTTGGGATTTGATAGATTATATTTGAATGATGTTGTTTATTAGTGCTGCCCACCCAAAAACCTTGAGTCATCAATCGAGAAGCCCCCCAAGTTGACTCACATCTTGTCGTCGAGTCTCTGCTCTTTTGTTTTTTTAGCTGCCTCGTTGCACACACAGCGACTGCATGGCAGCGTGTAAACAAACCAGAGAGTGACCACAAACCACAGAACTGACTCTCACTGAAGCTGAACCGTTATTGAACCCGACGGTGGTTCAACTTCCTCTCCTGCACATTTTATTACTGAACTATGAGCAGGACGAACACTTTTTACTGTGTGGAAATCTGATGTTTTCACATATCCCAGATGACGAAAAAAAGACAATAAAAACATGAGACTGCAGAAGCTGCTGATGTAGGAGTTCGAACTGGAGGAGAAAAATATACAGAAGAACCAAAATCTGATTGCACTGACACAATTGTGAGTGGGACACAACCCTATTGTTTATTTCTTAAAGGGGAAAGTCGCTGCAGTTAACCTGTTGGGTTGAATCGTGTCTCGCTATCTCATTATGTTATTATCTAATTATTCCAAAGATGTTTGTTTTGGTTTCAGTTATTAGTTTAATTATTAGCTTTTGTCAGGTTTTTTGTGTGCACAAATAATTTCACTTGTTTCACTTTGTTTCTGATCTTCTTTAGAAGTTTGGTTTGGTTTTTTTACTGATTTTGTATCAGGTTCAACTGTAAATAAAGAGCAGCCGCCGCTTTGTGGAAGCTGATGGATACAAATGAATGAATCAATTCATCAACAACTGCATGTTTGAGCTGGGAATCATTGTTCTTGTCCACATTATAAAGTTCCCAAACATTAACCTCAATGTTACAGTTAGGAAATGTTGACAATATGTACAGTATATTGGTATAAGAGTATATTAGTGATGAATTTATTGTTAATCAGACCACAAATGACGACAGATAGCAGCATTTGTTCTATTAATATTTTACCAATGCATTGAATTTAATTTATCAATAAATGATCATTATTTTAATTAAATAGGTACAAAGTAAGCCAACTTATGTGAGGTAATGAAAAATAAAAGTTTTAATTAAAGTAATATATCAGTAAGATGCTGAGTAATCTATTTACAGAATCAATAATCTCATACATTATGAGATTAAAGCACAATTTGTGTCGTTCCTCTTGTATAAACATCCCTAAACTCTTCCCCTGGTGCTTTTATTTTCAGTTTTACAACACGGTAAGTTTTGTTTATTACATTGTGTAACTTTTGTCTACTTTATTTCCAAAAATGTTCAACAAAATTATATTATGGTAGCCAAAAAAAAAAAACTTTAACATAGGGTAAGTTCATTTAAAATAAAATGACATACAAGATAAGACTGACTTATTATGAAAACCTGCATTTTTTTAAATTTAAATCCATGTAACGTTACATTATCTGTAACAAACCAAACCGCCGGAAGTCAGAGTTGTGATGATTTGAACTGTGGACACAACGCTCAGACGACTTTATGCACTCATTCTGCGACGTTTGTTGTGTTGTGTGAGCCGGAGAAGATGAGCAGAGGCTGGGTGGCATATTAATATTATTATTATTAAATACATTCGCTAACCAACGCGGAGGGAAACAGCAGCTACAGAGCAGCACCGGCTGCCAGGTACTGTTTGTTTTATTGTTCACTAACTGAGTGAGTAACGTTAGCTCCCTCCCACCGCCTTAAATCTACATTACCGATTCATTTCTGTGCTAGAGAGTCAACACACTGACATTAGTTCAATTTGGGAGGTAAACTATTTTTATTCTCTAATTTTGCTGCTGAATTGATTCAAACTGTGTATCAAGACTTCTGAGTGACATTGGGTTTAAAGTCTACATTGCACCAACTGCTTTTATTTTGCATTGCCCACTATTATATATATATTATTGGATTAAATTGTTACAGAGGGGAGTAGCTCTACATTTTCTTTCTCTCTCTGCTCTGGTTTCAGATTCACTCGGAGACAAAATGGCTTCCAAATCAGAGATGCATCTCAAATGTACAGTCTGTCACGATATTTTCAAAAACCCCGTCGTTCTGACCTGTAGCCACAGCTTCTGCAAGGACTGTCTGAAGATCTGGTGGCAAGCGAAAGAGTCGCGACCGTGTCCGATTTGTAGGGCCGAGTATTCGATGGCGGAGCCGCCGTGTAACCTGGTGCTGAAGAACCTGTGCGTGGCCTTCTTGTTGGAGAGAGAGGAGAAAGCTTCAGGTTCAGAGGATATCTGCCCGCTGCACGATCTGAAGTACGAATTCGAATGTGATGAGGATGAGATGCCGATGTGTATCGCTTGCACGGATTCAGATGAACACGCCGACCACAGCTATATAACCATCGACTTTAATCTCATGGTACGCTGTAAACTCGAGGAAGCTCTGGAGCCCTTGAAGGAGAAGTTGAAGAAATACGAAGAAGAAAAAGAGAAGTTTGATGAAGCAGAAACCTTCATTGAGGGCCAGGCCAAACGCACAGAGGCCGAGATTAAGGTGCAGTTCAATAAGCTTCGCCAGTTTCTAAAAAGAGGAGGAGGAGGCCAGGATTGCTGCAGTGAAAGGGGAAGAGAAGGAGAAGAATCGGGTGATGAGGAAGAGGATAGAGGTTCTGAGCAAAGAGATAGTAACTCTCACGGACACGATCAGCGCCACAGAGGACGAGCTGGAAGGCGGCGACCTCTCCGTCATGCAGAACCGCAAGGAGGCGGTGGAAATAATCCTGAAGCGCCCCGCGGTGAACGTCTCCGAGTTTCCCTCGGGAGCTCTGATAAACGTCGCCAAACACCTAGGCAACCTGACCTTCAACCTTTGGAATCAGATGAAGGACATAGTCTCGTTCTCTCCCGTGATTCTGGATCCAAACACCGCGTTCAGCGAGTTCATCCTGAACGACGATCTGACCGGCTTGCTGCCAGAAGCGGAGCAGGACCTCCCTTACAACCCGGAGAGGTTCGATGGTTGCATCGCCGCCCTGGGCTCCGAGGGCTTCAACTCGGGGACTCACACCTGGGATGTGGATGTGCAAGGCAGCGTGAGTTGGCGCCTGGGCGTGTTCACGGAGAATCTCCCGAGGAAGGGCCCGTTAGAGGCCGGAATACTGTCACTGTGGCACTATAAAGGCAAATACTTTTCATCAGCACCACCGAGCGCGTCCACCGCTTTCCGAATGAAGAAGAAGCTCAAGAAGGTCCGAGTGACCGTGGACTGGGACAGAGGACGGGTGTCGTTCTGCGACGCCGAAACTAAAACGCACATTCACACCTTCAAGCGCATTTTCACCGAGAGGATGTTTCCGTTCTTTAACTCTGAGCATGCGTTGAGTATAATACCGCTGAAGATCAGTGAGACGACTGAACAGAACAGCTAAGAGATGAAACGGGATGAACCACTGCTGCCTCATTACTCCATAAATGTGTATGTTTTAGTACATATCATCGAGTACATACCGCAGGGTCTTTAATTATTGATCACAAGAACAGTTCTGACTTTGTTGTTTTGTCATTTAATGGTTAAAAAAAATCTAAAAGTCTCTCGTGTATTTGGGTCTGTGTTAATCTGCCAATGTGTCAGTCTGAGAATTCCTGGTTTTAAATCTCTACTACTAACAACCTGAAGTCTTTGTATTGTGCTGTGTTTAGATCAAACTGGTCTATTTGAACATTTATGTGATTAAACCCTGAAGTTTAATCTGATTTCGACTGAGAAAAAGAGTCACAATCCTGTTTGTATTCGAGTTGTTTTGAGGTTCTTTTTGTTGTTTAGTTTACCAGTTATCTGTTTGCTTCTATTATCGACATTTAACATGTAAAATAGTTTCTGATCTTGATGCTTGGTTTGTTCAACCCTTTTTTCCCCACTTTGTGAAAGCTGAGGGATCCAAATAAAGAATAACATATTGTGTTATGAGTGTTTGAGCGTCCAATTATTGTTATTAACCCACACAAACTTTATTTTAAGTTCCAGTGTTGAAAGAGAATAAAACATGTTCAGGCTTGCAGTGGCTGTTAGACTTTCTCACACACATAAAAGGTTAAAAACCACACAGGTTCTGACTGATACATGAACTATTTTTAAGGATGTCTGGTTCTGTGTTTTGTTTTAGACTCAACAGGTGCTGGTGATAATGTGAGCTTCTTAGAACCACCTTAGAAAATGTGTGTATGTAGAAGAGGAGTTCAGGAGGTTTGGTTTACGGTTGATAGAGTTTAAATGGTAAATTGTGTCTAGAGGGATTTGTAAGCACAGAATATCAAGTCACTTTTTAAATATTCACATTAAACCGTCTGCTGTGTACCTGCATTAGCTGACTTTTGATTGATGATATAATAAGAATATAATACAATTCTCAGCTTTCCATGTCACAGCACTTTAAATTATTATTAATGTTCACAACAACAATATGTGTTTCTGCAGGAAGGTCCGAATCATGACATGAGAGCGGGATTAATTATTATCTTCAATAGATAATCTGATATGAGTTATGGTGAATGTCTCCAGTGCTGCTGATGAGGGCGACCTGCAGTATGTCTCCAGGGCTCAACTTCAGGTCCTTCCACACCAGGTCAATGTCGTCATAACGGCAACCATAACCTGGAGCTCGCAACTGCAAAATGCAAAGGTCACAGACTTACAAATACACTCATTCATTATTATTATTATTATTATTATTAATTTATTTTTTAATTTCAAATGGGACTCAACCACAATGTAGAAAGAAAGAAAGAAGGAGAGAATTGAATGAAAGACTCACAGTGACAGTGTTTCCAGCCTGTAGTATGAATGAGTTCTCAAATGTGTGCGTGATGGATTCTGTCTCATTTAACTGGACTTCTAACCTCCATCCTCCCAGTTGTTGCTCCTGCAGTGACATTGTGTGAGAGGGAGGACGAGAACAAACTAATGTTACACTTATTGAATCCATTGTCATTGTCATTGAATGTCATTTCCCTCTTTACATGAAAACAAGAGCACATGGATTGCGGGGGAACTAACAGCTCATTATTTGGTTTGAACGGCACATTTGGAATATTATTGTAGTCCAGATTTATACAGAACTGATACAGTGTTCATCCACACACAGACAACATTACCTCATTGGACCAGTTTCTGAGACGAATATATTTGCCCCGCAGGTCGACCTCAACAACAGGTGCTGTGGTTGAGCTCTGACTGGCCGAGCTGGTGTAACTCTGCTGAGAGAGAGACAACACACACGTTTTAATTCAAGTGTAACAGAGAGATTAACTATTTATGTTAAAGAAAACAAGCAGATTTCTAGTTGGACCTTTAGATGGAACAAAGTCACAGTTCTGTCTGTGTGAGAGTCAGTGGAGAAAACTGATTGAGGACCAGCAGAGAATCCTGAAGGTGTTGGTCTCCAGCAGCTCCTGAGAGAAATATCTGTGTGTGTTCACCAGCTAGTCTCTGACTGTGTCTGCGTGCTGCCAATAAAGCTAATGTACAGTGGGTTCTTCCAGCTTTCTCACTGAAAGCAGCTGCTGCAGTTGAACCAACACTGTGAAGCTGTGTGTGGACAGATAAACAATGAGCTGAAACTCACTATAACACATTGTCACATGTTTCACTTTTTCATTTGAAATATTTTTATAAAAACATCTGTTACATCTGCTTTAAATCATTCTCTCCGTAATGTGTGGTTTGCTAACACACAGACAGACAGGATATTGATCTTTGAGCAGTGTTGTACTGCAGGAAGTGGCAGTCTGACACTGACTAATGTGCACACAATAAAGTGCTCTGATGCAGTCTCCACATTCATTTCAATAGTTTCATTTCAGTGAAACTACTGAACGTCTAAACAATTTTAGTTCATTTATATTAGCATTTATTTTACATATTACTTTTTAATCCACCGGCATTTCCGCCTCAGTTAAACACACATTCCTTTATACAATAGGTTGGTTTTCTTTTTAGTTTGTTCTCTAAAGGATCTGATTATTATTATTATTATTATTATTATTATTGTGGTTGCTATTTATACATTTTGAGTTTCTGTTTGATAGTCTGCAGTGGTTCATACTGCTTTCAGTAAATCAAACTTTACAGAACCAGTTGTCCTATCACTTAGATGAAGAGGTTTAGCTACAAAATTGAATTTAAATTGAACTAAAACCACATATTTCTTAAACATTTAATTTTTTCTTGCTCCTCTAGCCGATCTCCGTTTGTCTCTTATTGAAATCTCCACTGATGATTTCTTTCCTCACTTCTGAACCTCTGATTAAATACATTAACATATATTAAAGTTGATATTGTTGTTGCATTCTTCTTTCACAGATCAAACTTGTCCTGCTCATGTTTTCTCTCTGAAAGCAATGTCCTGTTACTTTACTTACACGTTTGCTCTTCACTGTTCTATCTGTCATCAGCGTCTCTCTCTCTGCAGTTATGTTTTCTTTAGAACAGTTTTTCTCTCCATGACTTTTCTTGATCTCTGTGCAAAAATACAGATAGTAATATCAAAGTATAAAAGACACTGACTGGTATTGTTGGAAGATATCACAGCACATCAGACATTTGAGTCTGATTTCACTGCAGTCTTAACAACACCAGAACCTGGGACCTGAGACACATACTGACATCTTGATCAAAATGAATGTCATTATTTCCCACAATTCACTATTTCATGAAACCTGTGAAAACTCGACATTTACAAAGAATTGCAAATAATTTGTGACTTACTCAACACAAAGAAAACAAGTAACAGATTACACACGATGCAAACAGCCAAACAAACAACCAAACCGACAATGATGGGAACAGCAGAACTGGAGTGGATCTCAAAGAAATCATCTGAAATGATAAAACACACAATAACATGTATGTAGAAAACTACATTTTAACTATTTGAAACTAAAACAGTGATCACATTATGAAAAATATATATATCATGTTTACCTATTACATAGATGTGTGTCTCTCTGGTCTGGTTGATGCCCTTCTGTTGGACTCTACAGGTGAAGTTGTTGCTGTGTCTCTTCTCCACAGTCACTCTGCTGCTGACAGTATAGAGGTCATCAGGACCTCTGACTGTCTCTGTAGGTCCAGCAGAGAGGAGGTTTCCCTCACCGTCCAGCCAGACCACCTCAGGCTCTGGATACCAGCTGTTAGAGTCACAGTTTAAGATCAATGCTCCTCTGTTTCTGTCGATCCCCGATAAACTGATGTCAGGCAAGGAGGCAGTATCTGATACTGAGTAAACAAAAGAAATTAAATTAAAAAAAAGATGCACAAATATAGCTAAACATAAAACTGATAAGCTAATAATTCACACACAAACATTAGCATTGGCTTTAAAATAATAATTGGTGATGGGCAGCTTGAAGTCAAAGGGGTCATATTCGATGTTTCCAAAAGTGAAGTTGTTGAGAAGTTGATAAAATAACTATTGAGTCGTTTTGAGATGTAGGCAAGCACTCGATAGCCCCAATACAGCAGCACTCAACCCCCATGACACCGGCTGATTGTATAGTCTATGTATGGCAGTGGGGCCTGGTGACTTTAGTCATTGTTTGGTTGCTTGTATGTCATCTTTGGCCACACTGGCCCTCTGTGGATGGCAGTGTTGGTCAGTAAGTCCATGGCTTTCATCTAGACTAAAACATTTAAACAGCTATTGGCTGGATTGACCTGAAACTTAGTACAGATGTCCATGGTGCCAAAAGGATGATCTGGGTGACTTTTCACCTAGCACCAAATGTTTTCATTGTGAGCATGCTGGTATGCTGAATCTTAATCTGTTTTCATTCGTTGACCATTTGCTATCCCCATCTGCAAGCAGTGATTGTCCAGTCATAGCTTAGCAACTGTAACTAGACACAGAAAGCCTGTCAAGTTTAGAATTTCCCCAAATATGAAGTGTGAATGAGGCTCTACTAAATAGGTTTCTAAAGATTTTGGAGAAAAAACAATAAAAATAATAGCTAACATTTTACTGGGGACTATTAAAATATATAATAGACGATATATAATCAATGTATTTGGCTCTAATAAGCTCTGATAAGCTGCCCAAATTAGCATGCCTGGCTAACTACCTGTTCACCCACAGTAGTTAACCTTATTATTATTATTATTATTATCAAGACCAAGAGTTAGATAACTGTAAGGGTTAGACCTTCTCTATTTAAAACGTGTCCTGAGATAACTTCTGTTATGATTTGAACTGAAATGGAATTGAAGGTGAGGACATGAAGTCAGTGTCAGTTAGTTACCCAGGCAGAGCTGATCAAAACTTTAATTAACGACAACTGAAAGTTATGTTTATCCTCCAAATGATTCACTGGATACAATGTACAGACTGCACCAAACTGCCCTGTACACATACACTGTGTATCTACTCACCAACAACAAGCTCAGTGAAAGAGTCTACAGTCAGATCTGGAATGTAGCATCTGTATCTCCCCTCATCGGAAGGCTTTACTTTGGAGAGCTTCAGTGAAATGTTTCCATGCTTCACTTCACCAGCAATCAATGTTCTTCCTTTATAGGCTGGATTTTTTACATTTACAAAGTCCTGACCAGCAGGCCACAAATAGACAAATCCGGGGTTCAGATCCGGTCTCGTCCACTCAAATGTCTTGGCAGTAACATCCACTGCAGGTTCCAGATGACACGGCAAAATGATGTCAGCGCCAATTGTTGCCACTATTGGCTGAGGTGAACCGATTAACTGAGACTGACCTGGAAGAAAAAATAAAATTGTTCAGCTGTATAAAGTATGGATTATCTGCTGTCTGGAGGTGAACAGGTAGAAACAGCTGTCTGCAGAGTGAACTAAAACAGTGAACAGTGAAGTTGTGGGCCAGACATGCAAAACAAAGAGTTGATGAACTCTAAAACACACTGTGGAGCTGTCTGTTGTAATTCTCTACGATGAGCAACAACTTTTATTTTACAGATAGTTATTTGGCATTTGATTGATTGGTATGAAAAGATAAAGCTCCTAGTATTCAACAACAACTTTCCTCCAATGCCTGATTATGGTATTCAATTGTATATGTGTGTAACTTACCTCTACACAAGTGTGCTAGGAGAAAATGGACGAGCAGAACACTGATGGTTCTGAGCGGAGACTGAAGGCCCGGTCCAGTCATTGGAAGCATCCTGCAGTTCTGAAAATGAACATTAAACACTAAAAGCCTACACGGACACCATCATTGTACAGACACGATGCTTTTGATCTGGTGAATCAGCAAAATAAGTAGTCCAGTCAATGACCTGAACAGACAAAATATGTTTGGCTGACTTATTTGACCACACATGTGCATATTAAGAGAATACATTTTACACATTATATCATAGTCTTTCTGTTTGAATTCAAACAAAAACATACAGCTGTAAGACCACCTTCACTAGCAGTATCCTCATTTTACACAGACAATAAAACACTTCCATGCAGTGGAGTTATACTTTCGTCATTCTGTGGCTATATATATATATATATATATATATACAATTACTTTTGTTGCTTCACAGACTGTTCCTTAGTGAATTTAAAAGAAAGTGTTTTGTCTTTCAAAATAAAAGAAGAAAGATGTAGATTAGGCAAAAATAAATGTAGAAGACGACGTACCTGCTGCACAATCTGTCGGTCATTTAATCAGGCTTTCACGACCGAAGTCTGTAAATCATTGACAGGATGTTCCTTGAACTCACCCTGGTTGAACTGCAGCTTGTACATGCATTCATTTTTAGTTTAAAACTTATAAGTATACCTGTGCAGTGTTCCCCATAAACTGGGTTGGGTTTTGGAAATCTTTTTATCAATTATTATTTACTTAGTTGTTAAATACTGGAATGAATGCACAAAAATACAGTAAAATCTGGTGATACATTTGCATGTGGACAATATACAGAATGTTAAGGACTGGATCTTTGACAGATTGTATTTGTTATTTTGTTTTTGTCCTGATATAATATAATTTACTGATTTGGATACAGATCCATAAACTTGTATATCATTGGATTTTTCTGGATACAAGTCATTTTGTAAAACTGTCAATTAATCAACTTGTGATTGTCTAGTTTCAATAACTTATCTCAGTTTTTCTTTGAGTGTCTTTGCAACATTGAACTTTGAGCCTGTTGCTAGGTAACCGATCCCACCACCACCCCAGCATCCACTGGGGGTTAAGGTATTTGCGCATCACTCCTCAATATCTCTATGTAAACACATCTACGGGGAGTGATGAGGTCGGAGGTTTCTTCTAAATTAACTAATCATAATATTTTGGTTTTGAGATCCTATTAAATACATTGTTCCTTGCCTCACAGTATTGGGGTCCTAGAAGATTGTGGTGGACACCATATCACACAGAAACTAACTGGATGGGCAGATTGTACTAGCGATAAGTGGAACAATATCTTATTATTAATTTGTATGTATTGTACTATGAACATAAGGTTTATCAATGACAAAAACTCAGATAATGGAATGGAAATTAGACGCTCTGGAGATAAGAAGTTACTTGCAAAGCCTGCAAGCCCTCTGACCCATACGGATATCAGTTGGCTCTGTAGTCTTTTGGGAAGTATATTGGCAACTCAAGTTGCAAAGCTAGAATGACAAGAAATGAATGTTCAATCAGAAAGCTGAACTAACCGAGAACAGGTTGGATTATTTTGTATGAGGATTGGAAGTTAATATTAATTGATAAAAACGAAGGTGAGGAAAACACACCAAAAGTGGAGTGCTGAATTATCAAGGTAAATGAACAAAGCTGATTTCATTAAAATAGTCATAAAAACATCTTACATTCATCATTCACAACACAAAATGTATCATTTGAGAGGTGGGCCACAAGGGCGGGAATAACAAAAAATTTATAATAATGGAAGTTATGCAATGTATGTGAATTAAAATAATGATTAATTGTTAATTTATTTGATAAACTTGAATAATAATTTGATTGACAGCTACTGTGATAACCATAAGGCTGTGTCTAACATTTAAAACACTCAACTGACATTTACAGAAAGAGGTTCTTGACTTAAAAGCAATGTAAAGTAAATGTAACTCAAGTGGCAAAAATGTCTTAAAACATATTGAATTTATCTTCCTGCACTGTATTAATGAACTAATAAAAGCAGCCATACTGTACAGTTACCACATGGTGGCTCTCTAACGTCACAATACACATGGCAACATAGAGATATTGATCCTAATAACAGCAATGTACATCAATACTGCAGAATAAGGGCTTAAACTCTGGAGGCAAAATGAACACATAATATCAGACTATGTTAAAATGTTTCATGCATGAGTTCTGAACCACTGAGATAAAATAAATCCTAATGACTGTCCTATTATACTGTCAGGAATCCCGTGTTAATGTTGTCATGTTTAGAAGATTACTATAGACTATATATAATAATAATATGTATGTATGTACACAATGATATAATATGTGAAGGAATCAGAACAAAAACAGAACACCAACAATTCAAACACTACTTCCTTTTCAGAATAAATAAGTACTTTAAACACTATAAACTGAGCTAAAATAGAGTATTTAAATATTCAACAGGATATTTATGAAATGCAGTCAGAAACAAATTAAGTACAGCTGTAGTTGTTCTGATACCAGTATCAGAAACTGCTCTAATGCTGCCTAAAAACCAGCATTTCTAAGTTCTGGAATCCATATTGGGAAGATACAAATGGTTTGAGAACATCTGTAGTTATAGTAGTGGTTTTCAGTTAACCTATATCTTGTTCCAGATGTTGAAGGTCAGGTTGCCCAGGTGTTTGGCCTCGTCTATCAGAGCTCCTGAGGGCAGCTGTGGATCCTCCAGCAGGGGGCGCTGCTGGACTCTTTCCACTGCAGCCTTGTAGTTGATCAGGAATGAGACGTCTTCAGCTCTCAGCTCCTCCTCTGTGGCTCTGACTGTGTCTGAAAGAGCTGCTATCTCTCTGCTCAGAGCCTCCATCTTCTCCTTCATCATCTGACTCTGAAACTGGTGAAGCTTCTTAAACTGCTCCTTAATCTTCCTCTCTGTGCGTCGGGCCTGGACCTTAATGTGTTCTGCTGTTTGATCAAATGCCACTTTAACTTTAAATTCTCCTTTAATCTCCTTCATTGTTGGGTTTGAATCTGTGGTTGTTGTGTGTCTGTGAATCTCTGCAGACGACACAAACTGGCTGCTGATGGTCCACACAGAAGAGTTTGACTTTCTCAGAGTGCAGACTGCAGAGATCTTCATCCAATCTGGGAGCCATTTTGTCCTTTTGAAGGTCTCTGGGTGTAATCACACTTTAATTACAGCTTTTGTTATTCCTCAATGATCCGTGATAAGTATTGACTTCAAAGAATGATCTGTAACATCGTGAGGCTTCTCTCTGTGCAGCTGGTGAACATGGTGGAGGATTTAACAGCTGAAGAGTCATATATTTCCCTCAGGAGTTGGTTGAGACCAAAAACAGAGCAAAAAGAGAGTCAATATTGGACTTATATTCATCAGATAGACATAAACACGACTCAAAATAAATGATAATGATGCTCCGTAACTGCTGGATTTGTAAATAAGTAAGTGTTTGCTAAGAAGTTCAAGAAATCAACTTAAAAGGTGATGATATGTTAATGTTTACAGCTTGTTTCTGCTGCCTTCAAGTGGCCAAAAAAAGGGAGCAATTGCAGGTTTAACTGAATATATTGTTAAATAATTTCAGGTAGTAGCTTTAACAAAATCCTCCAATAACTCCAATGAAGTTAACGTTATTTTAATGGTTAAATTATGGATTCAAAGTTGCATTTTGGGGGTTAAATTAAGCCTTTTTCTGTTTTTAAGCACAAACTCCTCACCAGCACCTGTTGTATTAAACTTAACAAAGAACAGGTAACTTATTTACATTTTCCCTGCAAATCCAAAGCAGCAGATATCTGACACCACCTCTCTCTCTCCCTCTCTCTCTCTCTCTCTCTCTCTCTCTCTCTCTCTCTCTCCTCCCTCTATCTCCTCCTCTACTGACTCCACCCTAGGGAGGTTTAAAAGGCCATGAGACACCTGAGACACCTCACTGCGGTCAGACAGCTTACACTCACCTGTCTCACTTCTCTTAGTGTCTCACTCATTCTCTGCTCAGCACAACCTGATTCTGCAAGTCTTCTCTTTTTATTGCAGCATTCTTCAGTCTGTTTTCATTCATCTCAGCCTTCCTACCACCTGCTCCTCTGCCTTCTTTCAATCCAACCATCTTTCACCTCTGTATCCCACCACCTCCACCTCCACCTCCACCATGAGTCTGAGTCGTACCAAGCGAATCAGCTCCAGCAACTCTGTCCGGAGCAGCAGCGGGTCGAGGAGGCTGAGTGGCTTCGGCCCAGTTCAGGGGGGTTTCAGTGGCATCTCCCTGAGCAGCAGCTCTCTGTACGCGGGGACCAACGGGCATCACCACGGCCACGGCGCCCCGCTGGCGTCCCTGTCGGTCAACAAGAGCCTGCTGGCCCCCCTCAACCTGGAGATCGACCCCAGCCTGTCCATGAGCCGAACCCACGAGAAGGAGCAGATCAAGTGCCTCAACAACCGCTTCGCAAGCTTCATAGATAAGGTAAAATAAAACGAGTTTATTTTGTTTTAGTATTTCCATTTTATGCTGATTTAGTATTTGTTGATTATAATGTAATATTATAGATAATTTATAAGCTACCCAGCAGAGAAAGTATATAAAGTAGTTAACATTTACCATCTTTACCAGCCTCAACATAGTAATGAATGAGTACTTTTGCAACTTAAAGTATATTTTGATTCAATACTTTTGTTCTACTTGTATGCATAACTTTGAGTATTTCTACACTATGGTATTGCTTCAACCTGAGAGCTAAGGAAGGAAAATTAATACAATTATTTTGATAACTGTTGTAACTGAATTTCTTAAGCCAGAAAAAATGCCTCTAATTGTGAGGATTTTCTGCTTTTCTCTGTTGTACCATTGTAGCTTGAATACCTTGTGTTGTGCAATTTGTATATAGATCAAATTATGAATCAATTTGTTCCATTTAAAATGCTTTAAAGCAAGACATTGTAAACTGAAACTGACTATAAAGCTCAAGCTTAAAACCAAGTGGAGCTGCAGATTCAGCTGATATAATCTGATGAATGGTTAAAATCGATACCAATACTGACACAATAACACAAGATAACTACATCAGAGCGAGAATGGACTAATAACATTGTCTGATATTTTACTTTATGTTTAGACATCAGGCTGAAATATTGGGTGTTAAACTGGGAAGTAAATCTGAGAAGAAGCTGTGTTGATGTTCCTGAAGAACACAGCCTGCACACATTTCCCACAGAATGAGTGACCAGCTCTCTGATAATGCTTGACATTGATACCGTACTTACGGAACATCTCCGCTTTCTCACGGAGTAGGTAACACACTCTCACAATAGAGGCATTGTTGGCTTCTCACATCAGCAGAGATACACTTCAGGCATGAAGAGACAGAGCTGGACTGAAGTACGTTTGTCCAAATGTACAAAATTAACCTCTTTTTAGCATCTTGTTGAGCACAAAGACTCATATAGTATGAAAGTATGAATGTCCTGTGATCATCATAATGGCTCATGCAATTACAGCAAAATACTCAGAATTTTAAGCCATTTTATTTTGAAAAGTGAGAACGCTGCAGTAAGATAAGACATGGAATTTCACATTACAGTCAATGGCGACACCCAAGGGAGGCCAAGGAAACCTTGATCCCAATCACTGCCCCCCCTTCATTAATAAAACAATGAAGGCCTTTACAGACCGGGGATATGACAAACTAATTATAAGAAAATACAAAAATCTGTGCATTAAACCTGTACATACCGGCACACCTGAGGCTTGCAGACCATTGGAAGTATAGCACGTACATTCATTCATAGCCAGCAGGAGGCAGCTCCACTGGGTTGCAAAAAAGAAGTCCAATAGTATTGAGCCTCATAGAGAAATTAGTTGACAGTAAAAAAAATAGTTTATTCAAGGTTTGCAGGAAAAGTTACCAAATCAGTTTCAGTGTTCCAGGACGAAACATTTGAAAGCTTCCACCTGTCTCCGTAAATGAAAGAGTTGATAACTTTGTTTGCTCTTGTTGGGGTCGTAGGAGCTCGTAGTTGCAGGAGACACAAGGTGACTTCAACCGGGGTTCCTTTTATTATGAAGGAGTGAATGAATATAATCTTGTTTATGTTTATTGATCCAGGATGGTATTGCTCAGATCTGTAGTTTTGCTTGTTGCAGCTACATTTGGGCAAGAATCCATTAAATGCAAGAAAAAAGTTGTTTTTTGATGAACTCATTCTCTAGATCTTCCCAGCTGTCTTCTCCTACTCTTAAGCCATACTTTATAAAAAAGAGCAAAACTGCTAAAAGGCCAAGTCGAGTCACTGATGTATAAACTGACCCTGCAATTACTGGTGTAATCCAACCCCGACTGGCTCCGAGGTCGCTGAAACATTAAAGAGCTGCTTCCCTCATGCAGAGACGCAATTAGTGCAATGCAACAGGCGGACAACGTTTTATTTGTTGCAGGATGATAACCCAGTTTAAACCTGGATGAGGGTCAACGACACAAGATCACTGGGAGATGTTGATACTGGTTGTTGGAGAAAGGATCCACAGTTAGACCTGAAATGGTTAATGAAAGCACAGATTTAGCCAAAAATTCAGTGAATGCATCTGGGACTTAAAAAGCCATTTAAACCCTGAATCAGGGCTATCGGGCCACTGGATATTTAAGCTATCTGTCCCATTTCCGTCCCATTGAGTTGAGTTGTAACCTGATAAATCAGGTCAGACACGGTGTGGTCGTGTCTCAGAGGGAGATTGTTCAGCTCTGAACAGAACACAGGCTTTGTGTTGGAAGGAGGAGGTACAATAGATGGTGGATATACCCGGCCGCAGGCAGGAAACACGAGCTGTGCAGATACAGGCGCCGAGTACAGTCGGGTGTTGACATTCAGATCGAGCTGGAACGATGTTTCTTTAACATCTCCTTGGAAGGACATGATTCGACAGCTGCTTTTACAATTATTTTAATTCCAAAATTAAATTCATCCAACAGTTATGTTGTTGATTAAATATTTAGTTTATAAAATGTAACTTCCCAGAATTAAAGAGGACGTCGTCAAATTACTAAAAAAGATCATTAATGTACTGGCAGAAGAAGAGAAAGAAACTAAATATTCACCTTTAACAGGCTGGAAGCAAGAGAAATGGGGCATTTTGCACTTAAATAGTTTATTGATTATTAAAAAAGTTAATTTTTTTAACAAATTAATTAAATAATAGTTTGAACTCTACATAATTCACAGATAAACTGAGTGTACCAGATGGTTTGTTACACAGAGCTAGATAATGAGTGAGTATACCATTACCTGTACCTGTACTCAGAATGGACAGGGCTTGAACTTTAAGTGTTGAAGTTGTTCATTTAAGTGAGATATTAATAAACCACAATTGATGAAACCACACTGGTCGGCCATGCTGCAGCTGCTGATTGGTCTAACCACTTGTGGCAATCAAACTAGCTAAACATCAGCAAACATTGAACTCACCTTCAACAGGTGACCAGAAACACAAGGAACCCCGTGTTGCCTTATTTTAGAGACAAGAATTACTTCATGAAAAAAATAATTCTTTAAATTGTCCAGTACACAGAAATCCAATAAACACAACATTTTTGCTGGAACAGTTGTCACAAGGGACAAAGACAAACGGGCACTGAGTGAAGTAAGACTGTGAATATTTAATCTACAGGTGGGAGACTAATCAAACACAGGTTCAGGTCATCAGGGCGGGGCAAACAATTACAAAAGCGGGAAAACACACAAGGGCAGGAAGTGAATGGATATGAAACGAGAGGTACAGAAGTACAAAATAAAACCTTCTATCTCCACCCGTCTCCGTCATGCAGGTACGTTTCCTCGAGCAGCAGAATAAGATGCTCGAGACCAAACTGGAGCTGCTGCAGGGTCAGGGGGTGGGCCGGTCCAACGTGGAGCCCCTGTTCGAGGCCTACATGGCGGGTCTGCGGCGCCAGATGGACCTGGTCAACAACGACAAGACCAAACTGGACGGGGAGCTGAGGAACATGCAGGGCCTGGTGGAGGACTACAAACACAAGTAAATAATGTCACAGTGGTGGGAAATGTTGTAAATAATGAGCTCTATAATGTCCATGTATGTACTGACAGTGTCCTGTCTGTGTCACAGATATGAGGATGAAATTAACAAGAGAAACAACCTGGAGAACGACTTTGTTATCCTAAAAAAGGTCAGCATACACACACAGACACATTTATTCATACATCACAAGGTGTGGTGGGTAATATGAACCGCTCCATTGTCCTCATTGTCGTCCCTCTCTATATTCCCGCATGCACCAAAACCCATAAACAATTAATGTCAGTATCACATGGGAACAGCAGCACGTCAGACACAATTTACTAACTCAGGTCTTTTTGTAAGATTTTCAGAAATACGGATTCGAGGCCCAAACTTGAGTGTATAAATTAGAGACATTTATTTGCTACTGGAATATCTGCCATGAAATCTAAAGAAAAAATCCATGGTCCCCGGGGATTAATGTGTCCATTAGTGCCACCATGAGGTTCACAGTTGTGATTCTGAGTGAAATATTATATATATAAACAATGATGCCCTCGGGATAAACTGTAATAACTTTTGGTGATCATCAAACTTTTTATCTAACGCCATTTTAATTTGTCCAATACTTTATTTGGTTTAGTGGTAATTCGGGTTGGAGTCACACTTGGTGAAAAGTATGCAAATGCCAATTTGAGGTAACAGTACTCCAATTTATGCTACTTTATACTTTTACTCATCACTAAAAGTTACTTTTCAGAAAAAAACATATGATCAGTTTATAAAAGCTGATGTACTTTTTAAATGCTAGAATGCTAACATGCTAAACTAAGATGGAGTAAACTATACACCTAAACATCAGCATGTTAACATTGTCACAGTAGACTCAGTAATCTCAGTGTATTATATTCATGTGTGTTTTTGTGTGTGTGTGTGTGTTCAGGATGTAGACTCAGCCTACCTGGTGAAGGCGGATCTGGAGGACAAGGTCGGAGCTCTGACTGACGAAATCAACTTCCTGCGCAACATCTATGAGGAGGTACTGGAACATTTTCATGCTTTGAAACACTGAGGTGGTGAAAACTGTTCATCCCCCTCCTGTATTTCTTTATTTGCAAGCTTCTCTGGGCTGGTATCCAGTTATTTCCCGCTGTAACGGTCACACCTTCCCTTGGCTCATTGTTCTGACTCACTGGAGAGTCGACTTCAAACATGAAGTGTCCCTGGAAGGTTTTTTATATCAGCCAGCGGAAATCTTTTTTCTGTTGTTGTCATTGTTGCTGTTACCTTCTTTCAGACACTTAAAAACTCTGCAGCTGCACAGAAACATACCTGGACATGTAATTTGATGATGAGTGAACAGATGAGCTTTATTTTAGCTGCATGGTTTTGATATTGCTGGAAATATTTGGTCATGTAAAGTTGTCCCTTTCCACTCTGTCTTGTTGTCACTGGTATATTCTCTGTCACCTGTATTTGGTTTCCTCCACCAGGAGCTACGTGAGCTGCAGGCTGGCATCAAAGACACCTCGGTGGTGGTGCAAATGGACAACAGTCGCAGCCTGAACATGGAGCAGATCGTAGCCGAGGTCAAAGCGCAGTACGAGGACATCGCGGCCCGCAGTCGAGAGGAGGCAGAAGCCTGGTACAAGAGTAAGGTAGGGGTGAGGAAACAAACTCTTTTTAAAGGACCAATGTGTACAGTTTAGTGGCATCTAAAGGTGAGATTGTAGATCGTAACCAACTGAACCTTGACTCAAACGAGTGTGTAAGAGAAACTACAGTGGCAGCTATTTAGAGCCAGTGTTTGGTTTGTCCGTTCTTGGCTACTGTAGAAACATGGTGTGGAACAAGGCATCCTCCATATAAGAGGACCTGCTCCCTCTGTAGATAAAAACGTCTCATTCTAAGCAAACAAAAACACAACGATTCTTATATTCAAGGGGATTAAACACTAATGAAAACACTTCTCACTTACTCACTACTTCTTATTTACTTCAACCTCTCTGAGATTTTATGTGATTCTCATCATAAACTATAATTGTTTGAGGGTGATAAAATAAATCTCTCTATGGGCCCAATATCACCCAGCTCTTTATTCAAAGACACACAGCAGTGATGAAGCTAATGTTGACCTTCCTCTGTCTGTAGTTCGACCAAATGTCGGTGCAGGCCAGTCAGTACGGAGACGAGCTCCGCATCGTGAAGGGAGAGGTGGCCGAGGTCAACCGACTGATCAGCCGACTGCAGAGCGAAATAGAGGCTGTGAAAGCTCAGGTACAGCTACAGGAAATATGCAGCCTGATCGAATGTAAGTTGCTGAATGATTCAGGCTCAGAAGATAGTAAGGTTTCTCGTCCCCTGTCCCTCCTCAGCGTGGCAGTCTGGAGAACCAGCTGGGTGAGGCGGAGGAGCGTGGAGAGCTGGCTGTGAAAGAAGCCAAAGCTCGGACCAGAGACCTGGAGGACGCACTGCAGAGGGCCAAACAGGACATGGCCAGACAGCTCCGAGAGTATCAGGTGAGCTGTCGGATCTGGACGGTTGGCCACACCAGATGTCACTGCAGTTTGCTAACATATAATGATCTGTTATGCACACATTTTAGTGAAATAAAACAATTAATTGATTACTAATTCCACCTTTAGATACTTCTTTTCAGTGCTTTGCTGATGTACCATAATAATGTAATATAATAGATAGAAAGGAGCAGAATAAAGGCTCAAGGTTCAGATTTATTTTCATACAGTATAGGATTGTACAGTTGTAGCTGCCTCTGCACTACACACAGATAATGTATTAACAGATATTCAAACATTTAAATTAGAATAAAACAGACAGTAAAAAAATATATATATGTAAGTAGGATTAAACGGAGAAATGAAAAGGAAAATAAAATTATATTTTCAAGAAGATAAACAGTCTGGGTCTAAAGTGACACAATATTTTCTCCATAAAACAAGATCCAGTTTCACCTAAACCTTTTCTTAGCGTTAGCTCACTAGCATTGCTGTACACTGAGTTTTAGACCTACGGTCCAAAAACTGAACTTGCTATCAATCAAAATGAGTTGGGTTTTTTTTCAGGAAAGTATAAAACATGACATTTAATGTTTCCAGTATGGGTGTTCATAGTGAGACTCTTATCAGATGGATTGTTTGTTCTATATTATATTGTTTGTTTTTATTTTATATGATTTTATTTCTTGTTGTGGGGGGGCTCAATTGTTTATTTTTTAAAATGTGGGAGGAAACCGAAGTTACTCGGGGAAAACCCACGCCAACACAGTGAGCACTCTGTACTCCTCCTCACAGCAAAAGGAGGTCAAAGACTTCACCTTATAGCTGCAAGGCCACAGTGTTACACTGAGGCACCTGTGTGGCCCTATGATACCTGATGTCCAGTGTCGCGATCCACCAGACAATTCTTCTCTTAACTAAGATACATTTTTTTCATTATAGTTTAAAATGTGGGCGAACCGAAGCATCTCGGAGTAAACCCTGTGTCATCCCAGTTAGTATGCATGTCTGGTCAAAAAACGCCAAAGATTACTCTTTGCGTCCAAAGCAAGCAGCGAACGGCTTGGCCACAGTCTTGAAGAGACGTGAAAAGAATCTGTTCACGCTGGTCTTCTTCTGTGGCGTCACCAGATGCTTCGTTAGTGTCTCAGTAATGCATCTGTAAACAGATGCATCCCTGGACAGCAGGCACATCTTCAAGATCTTTGCATTGCCTTTCACCTTGCACAACTCCTTGTGCACCGCCTTGGCAACTTTTTTAAAGTTATGGCCACTTGGCTTGACAGTGACCTCGGAACCTGTGATCTGTTCCAGGAACGACTCCGCCAGTGACTTGCTGACGGCCTCGATGTCGTTGCTAGTGATATGAATGTCTGGATGTATCGGACTTTTAAAAAATCTCTCAGTCAATGCAATGGCCATAAGCCTGCAGCTGATATCATCCCACTGATGGGCTGCTGGTGCTGCGGACTCAACTTCAGCTTCAACCCTGGCTGATGACTCAGTGGATTGAACGAGGGCGGATGGTGGTTGTCGTCCAACCACGTGGGTTTCACCAGCCTTAGCTTCCATCAGTGACTTGATGGACTGAACGGGGGTGGAAGGTGGTTCTACTTCAACCACCAGGGTGTCACCAGCCTTATCTGCCATCGGTGACTTGATGGACTGAACGGGGGTGGAAGGTGGTTCTACTTCAACCACCATGGTGTCACAGCCGGCTCCCACCGGTGACTATGGACGAAGGGAGTGGAAGGTGGTTCACCAACCACCATGGGTCACAGCCTTAGCTCCTACGGTGACTTCATGGCGAAGGGGTGGAGGTGGTTCTACTAACCACCATGGTGTCACCAGCCTTGGCCCCATCGGTACTGATGGACGAACGGGGTGGGGTGGTCTACACCACCAGGTGCACCAGCCTTGGCCCCAGGTACTTATGGACAACGGGGGTGGGGTGGTCTACTTCAACCACCATGGTGTCACCAGCCTTGGCTCCCAGGTGACTGATGGACGAACGGGGGTGGAAGGTGGTTCACAACCACCATGGTGTCACCAGCCTTGGCTCCCATCGGTGACTTGATGGACTGAACGGGGGTGGAAGGTGGTTCTACTTCAACCACCATGGTGTCACCAGCCTTGGCTCCCATCGGTGACTTGATGGACTGAACGGGGGTGGAAGGTGGTTTTGTTTCAACCACCACAGGTGTCACGCTGCCACTTCCTACGACTGAGGATTGCAGAATGATTCTTACCGCTTCAGTTGTTTTGTCCATGAAGGCCATCTGAGACTCCCCTGTTCCAATCAGTGTAATTTGCTCCACTGGCAAGTTTTCCACTGTTACGTTTTCTTCTGCAGCCTCCATTGTCAGGCTTTGCTGACCTTTCTTACTGGCGCAGTTTTTCAATATTTTGGTCAAATGTCGGACCATGTTGTTCAGTCTATTGTTGAAGGAATATATATATAACATGTGAGGTCGGCTCCCCTCATTGCTTCCACTACTCTCAGAGCTTTTGGAGAGCCTGTTCATTCTCACTGTGACCTCTTTAATCACAGCGTCTGTAAGTTTTTCCACGCTTCGGGAACTGATTTCTGGGACACCAATGGCCTCCGCAAAGGCCAGTGAGATAACGTCCCCAAGACAACCGCGGACGTCGTCTTCAGACACGCTGTTCTTCTGTGATCCGGCTGATCCAGGAGAGCTTCTGGAGGATTTGGGAGTGTCTCTCCCCTTCAGTTCCCTCTGACTAAACACCCCATTCATGTGGAGGAATATTGTGTTAACGGTATCCACACAAATGTTCATTATGAACTCTTCGGTCGTCCTATCGAGTGACATGTATTCCAGAAGCGACCACTCTATGGTTGTCAGCTTCTCCAGGCACTGTCGGATGTGTGCGCGAAGGCTCTCTGTTGTGGATTGTTCCATCTTGTCTTTGTCTTGTCTCTGTTATACTTGGATCCAAAGTCCTGAAGAATCTGTGCTTCCTGTGTTTGTTTCTGTGTGCTCAAAGTGACTCTGAACTGAACCAGGTTGGATTTAGATCCTATATATACATTTTCAGACAGAATGTTCGCCTTTGTATCAAAGCAACATTCTATTGGCTTTGATCTTTGAATGACATCATGACATCATGACATTCTAATGACATCACAGCAAAAGATTAAATTAATAAAAAAAACACAACATTCCGACAATAAAAATATTCAAAAATAAACAAACTTCACTAAAACGTAATTGATTTAGTCATACACTAAACTATTTGAAATCCTTATTAATAATTAAATTGATAACAACAACACAACAACTACTATTAATAGCTAGTAAGTTGAAGGATTTGGAATTCTGCATAAACAAAGCTGGTATCACCCACTCTTGTGCAAAATTAAAACACTTTTATTTAAAAAAAAACATTGTATTGTTTTGGCTCAACACAAATATATAACTCAGCTTTTGAGTTATGACAACTTCTGATGAAATGATGGTACCACTGTCCTCTGTCTGTCTTAGCAGTTAGCTAACGGCAGCTACATTAGCAGTTAGCAATATGATCCAGTTTCACCCAAATCACTGATAAAGTTGTATTTGGTTTGATTCCTGTCCGTCTATTTTGTGTATTGAGTCTTTGTTTTCTTGGTTCTGTGTCAGTTCATTCGGTCTTGTCACTGGATACTTTTGCATCATCTGGTTTTCTGATGCAGATTTGGACAAAGTATCCTGAAGTTAGAACAATTTTTCTAGGAGGAGGAGACAAATATATGTAGAAGCTGTTTCAGCTGTACTTGTTCAAACTTTTCAGTAGTTTAATTTATAACAAAACATCAAAGTTTATAAAGTCTGCATGTTTTATGTGTTAAGTCTTATAGCTGGGGTAGGTAAATGCTGGAGAAACTAAAAAGAAACCGGACCAAATTAAATGATTGGATGGGCTAATTATAAGCCCTTAAATGCTACAGAGACCAGATTTTATTTTATTTTTCTACAAATATAATAAAAATGTTTCTTAAATACATTACCTAGCCTAGTTTTAATTTGCGCAGTAACTAAAGATGTCAGATACTTGTAGTGGAGTATAAAGTGGCATTAAATCCAGAGAATCAAGTATAAGTCTGTAGTTAAATAAGGTACTTGACTAAATATACTTAGTTAAATATCCTGTGTATACACATACACACACAAGAAACATGTGCAATATCCGTGTAATATGAAAGTTGTAGTGCTTTTAGTCTTTAAGTAGTCGAGGGGTTGCAAAAGAAAGTAACAGGAAGGTTTAATGTATGTTTGAATGCTGTAAGTTTTTACAGCTGGAGACAAATTGAATGTAAAAGTGTCATTTCCTTCTTCACCTGCAGGACCTGATGAACCTGAAACTGGCTCTGGACATTGAGATCGCCACCTACAGGAAGCTGCTGGAAGGAGAGGAGGACAGGTGAGATGGAGAACGGGAGGAGGTGATAATTAAGTCTGTGCGTCTCCTTCAGTCCAACTAACCTTTCTGTCTCTGCCTCTGCAGACTCGGACAGCAGTCCATCCTCAACATCCAGGCCATCTCCAACTACAGTGAGTAACACACTCTAACCTCCACCTACGTATACATCTGTCCCTGATCGAGACCTCCTGTTGCTTTACACAGTGACGTGTGAACGTAACTTCAACTGTTTGTCTTTCCATTGACATAATTCTAATCTTTGTTAACATTTCTTTCAGTTCAACTTACCGTTTTTCTCATTTGCTTTGGCAACAGTCTTAATATTCCCTAAACTGTAACTGTCACAGCTGT